CACGGTTGATTGAGGGTTCCGTGCTTAACTATGGCCCCACTTTTGCGAGAAGGTACTGATTCCGATTTAATTTCATCTGTAGGGTTGATTTAGATCCAGTGATCCAGAAACTTTAGATTTTTACACTTTGTAGAATTAATTTTAGATTCTATAGCTGCCAAATTTCGGATCATTTCAACAGGAAAAAGTCTGTCTTGGCGCGGTTAAAATTAGTGGATTTTTTGATGAGGTGCGACCGGGAACGGGGATCCCGTTAAGGTCCCCTAAGTAACCTATAGGCTACGTTATTCGACCGCCACTACTCCGTAGTTTCCCTATAGTAAACAGTGCAAGTTAACTAGTTAGCTAAGTTAACGTAACGCACTCCACGGCCGAGCTGGACACCCCAAAACACCATACTAAATACTACATTTTGATTCATCGATATTTCAACAACCAGGGGTTCATTTCGATTGAAATCAAAGGTTATACATTTATTAAGCTGCCGGAACAACCTACATAGATTTTTAAGCCATTTAGACTATAATTTAGATACGTTACCATAAAATACACCGTATTTTTGCCCTTTCAAACTTGAATCCATATATCTCTATCAATACTTTAATTGATTTCCTTGAAATATCAGTGACCTAGAAATACTATTTAAATTATAAAACCTTGATATTTCATCATAAAATTATCTGGTTGTTAAGATATGAAGTTGTAATTTATCGCGATTAATATGGTGTTTTGGGGTGTCCAGCTCGGCCGCGTGTCCAGATCGGCCATGGATTACGTTAGTTATATCCTCATATCGGGTATATCGTCACACGTGATCACTATTATAGCTACGACATAATTAATATATAACGAGAACGTTACTAGATCATAGCCGCACTATAACAAGATTATACCCACGATATAGTCGGATCATACCTAGGGTATGACCCGAGCACAACCCAGGATCGGAGGACTCGATATATAAGGACACTCGTTTCGCACTATACATTTAGTTCTTCGCGATCAATCTCACATTGTTACTTAGTTACTACCTTTAGTACTCCGTACTTTGCACTTTATAGTTCACCTTGAAGACAACCCAACCTACAAGTAGGGGATTCACTCTGTGGTAACTGTAAGAATATAATCTACAAGTCAGGGTAGAGGCCTGTCAATCAGGTAGGAGAAACGGGGCCAAGTCAATTGCGTGAGATAGTCAAAGACTGTTTCTTAAGGATCGTAAAACCTCTTCAACATGGGTCAATTTATATACAGTCTTATCGCTCAAACAGGAAGGAGATATATCCTTGGTAGAAGGATAGGAGCGGGGTAACCACGAGGCTTGTGTAACCTCTGTTAAGGGTGTTCCCTGCAGGAGTTCGTACACGTACTGATGACGAAGCCCCAGCGAACCTCCACAGAAAGCCTGCCGGTTTATCAGGTCCTGGAAGCCTGAGGCACTAACACTTGGGAATAACCTTATGCCAGGGTATATTATAACACTATCTTTGTGATACTATAGCGCGCCCGGCTGAGGATACTACAGGGGTTATGGCTGTAGCCTATCCTATAGGGGGTAAATCGGATCAGGTGGACGCGATTTGTTTTGTTAGGCCCCACTTTTCCGATTTTAGTCCATTCGATTTAGTTTTTTATACTCCATTCTTTTTAACCTTCCCGGTAATTTACTGACCCTAAATTTTGTCATTTAAGAGAGTCAGTAGTATTCTATACAAAATTATAAGTTGAGAATCATTGATATCAATTTGAGATTGTGGTGAAGTTTTCAAAATAGTGGTTTCTTTGATGGGGGACGATTTCGGGACTACCCGTCTATTCAGATGCGACCGGCGGAAGTATATATTTCTGACATCCATCGACTGTCAGTACGCATAAAATGCAAAACCGGACATGCAGATTGGGTTGTAAGTTATGGCCTTTACTATGGTGTTTTGGGCCGGGCGGCTCGCTTGTGTGGGCCACCTGCTTGTGAATTACGTTAGTTACCCATTGATTACATACTGAAACCTACTAACTTAACTACGAATTGCTACTCTTAGGAATATGTACATGAGTCTACTCTAGATTAGGAAAGCTTGCACAGAGTGATCGTCCACCAGAGTAACGTTGATCGAAGTGTGAGGACCAAGTCTACTTGTCTTTCCTCTGAGTGCCCGTGTCAGAATCCTCAACTGGCAATCACCATCTTTTTGGGGCTAAGCATTTTGGTCCAAGAACATTGCTCCTGGGGACCTGTAGGCCCCTCCCTAGGGAACTGTGAAAAAGTGGAGAGATTTATTACAGTGACATGGGAGTGGTAGTCCAAATCCAACCCACATTTCCTGTGTTTGCACTGTATGTAATATGCGAGTAACACCTAGACATCGGTATTGTCACTCGAATACTCGGTTACACCGCCATGGGACAGCTCAACTTGTCCCTTTTCCATTCGTTCTAGTTTTCCTTCTTTAATCAACCAATCACTCTTTACCTGATGGTTCCGGTATTTCTTATTCGTCCATATGCATACTAGTCTATACCGATTCAGCTCGTTTTGACAGGAACTCTAATTTCGGTAACCCCATAGGCCGCCTATGAATCTCTTGATGCCGTTGACAAAGGTGCGGGGGACCAATAAAAAATAGTTAGAGAGAAAATAGTTATGAGATATATGTTGGGTTCAGCGGCTTGGAGGCAATGATTCATGCCACCCAGTGCTGGCGCACAATTAGCCAATACAAAGTCCAGCCAGTCTGAGCATATTTATAATTGTTTTTGTCTGCACCAGGGCTAATGTGGAATGTCACAGTCCTAATGCCGCGTTGATCCCTTGGCGATCCTGTGTCATACATACCAAAAAATAATATCGATAGTTTTTCAACGAAAGCAATTTACTTGAGGTTATTTCTCTCTACAAGCCTTTCCTGTCAGGACACTGACCCTTTAGATTGATTAAAGAGATGTCAAAGATCGAGACCTTCCTCCCTCTAGGTCATCCGGTCCTTAACAAATTCAATCTTCTGACACGATTCCAACCCGTTTGATAGGTTCTCTGCATAAGACAGACTTCCATTCGTCAGATTGTCCTGATACTCACGGTTCTTTTCAGGTGCGTGCATTCCAATTCAAGAATTAGCGGTCTGTGCTACAGCCACCTAGAAAAATTCCCGCGTTCGAGACTCTGCGGAATGAATGTCTTCGGCTGCACAATCATCCTAGACTTGGCGAAACCCCAAACCATTTCTGGTACCTAAATCGTAATTGACCAGCAAAGTAGCCGCCGTTGTGCCACCAAAAAGTAGCACTATGAGAGGAGGTAGCACCTGGCAAGCAACAATACCATTGACAAGACTTTAACGGCTCATTTTGAGCTCGCTTGGGATGGAATCCTGCCAACGCTCTATATCCTGAAGAGGTCCACAAAGACTGATATCTGTGACCTTTTCAAAATGGGCTAAGCTCGGTAGGGCGACCAGGGCTTAGTTTAGATGAAAGGACAGGCTCCAACTTTGAATACATAGCAAGGGGCTTCAGCTTTAGGCTTGACATCCCACATTGCCTTTCGTTGATTCGGTTCTGGTCAAATAAATTGTCTATTTATCATTCAGGATTGGGAGGGAAACGATAAATCAAAGTTCGCGCCATTCGCTAATACGATTATTATGGTCTGGCAGAGAGACTCGGGGATACTGGCTGGGGTTCGAGAAAATGTATTCTTCGTTGTGAAGTTGCATGTAATTCCATAAAATTATGAGTTTTCCCCTGAACATTACGGAAACGGAAGGTTGCGTCAACATCTTTTTGCAGATGTCAATGCAGCTATCCGTTGTACTTTATTCCACAAGGACCGAGACTTCAGTACCCTGCTTGCATCTGACCTCCGCTGTGGAATCTACTCTCCTTCAATTGAATGCTTTATATATTAAGTGACACCTTTCACATTGGATCTACTACCGACAATTGGTTTTATACCAGGCTTCTCTGGTCCAGCTGTGATTCCACACTGGATTTTGCGTGATAGGCACTCCAGCACCCCACATGGATGCTTCGGAACGGAATCAAATGTCGCCTGAAAGGGCAAGAAAATCCTACTTCAAATATGCCAATCATACGAACCTACCATGCATTTGGCACTTGATTTGGAGTAACAGACCAAGAACCCGCTAATGATATTACTATTATCCTAAGGAAATTACAAGTTTGTCATCCAAGAAGTCTCGATCGTTACTGCCTGAAGACAAAAATGGATAACAGAAACACCTTACATGCTTCCTCGAATCTCCCATCTTCGGATCGAAGCCTTGTAATAGTTGGGCCAACGACAGCAAGCCTGCAAAGCCTGCAATTCTAAGCAGCAACACCTGGCTCATTCTAGGGATACTGTATGGGATGCGCCTTTTACTAAATGACGGAGGCAATTACTTTTGCCTCGCATTGGAAGAGTATAGATATAGACGATGGCCACAGCGTGCAAGAACTCGAGTCTTTTTTGAGACCCAACAATGAAAGAATTCTTCACCTAAATAACACGTAAATAATTGCTAGGTTAAAGAAGTCTAATAAATTCCAATAATGGAGCCCTTTCCAAGAACAGGGGCGTTTTTTCTTTAGATAGGGACGCATTGTCTCCGATTCAGACTCACACATATTAAGCCTTTCTGTTGAATGCATTGTAGCATCCGGAACTCCAGAGCCACCAATAATATAGATGTTTCGAGGGTTGTTAATGGAGACTGTATTTGTGGCGTCGAGGAATTAGAGCTATCCCTTTATTTGAAGGATGGGAAGCTTCATGCTCACATTCCTTCCCTACGATGCATAAACCTTGCCTACCATGGTAAATGAAGCATCTAGACAAATATTCAAATCATTGTAGCCTAGTACTAAATTCGTTACCATGAGCAGGCTATATATAGGTCTACCTTCGTCTACGATTAATCTATCCCTATAAAGACAAAAGAACCCTGGACCCCAGGCAAACTGTTCTACATACTCCCAACTGCAACGAAATACCCCTCAAGATGCAATTCTCCCTCCTCACCCTTTTAACTGTGTGTGCCCATGTCACGGCGCTGCCTGGGTTGCTCGAACACAATGGCACATGTGACCAGGCAGCTTGCGAGCGCATCGCGCAAGAGTCGGGCTGGCTGAAAAAGGTCTCTACGTTAGTATTCACAAATGTTTATCCATTTATCCACAATTCGCGTTTGCTCAAGCCTCACAGTTCCTGGTGTACATCAACCGTTACGGCTACCGTCATCACCACGGCTACCGTCACCACTACGGATGCCGTGACCACTACGGACACCATCACCGCTACAGCTACCGTCACCATTACCGATACCATCACCACTACTGACACCGTCAGTGTCACTACCACCTGCACTCAGACAGCTACCTCGACCGGGGGTTGGGCTACCCACGGGAGCGGGAACTGGTAATGAGATGTTTTTGTTTCCTCTGCGAATCATTGATCGCTCGTGGAGTTATCTGTTTAGGGGGTAGGAGATCTAGATCCAAATACTTTATGTACTACAATAACTTTTTTGCCTCATTCAGCTTCCTACTGTGCTCTGGTCCCAGTCCGTAACGAGGCGCTACAGACTGAGTAAGTATTTAGTTCATCTTGATCGTAGCTATAAACGCTGTCGATTTATGCTCTCACCTTAATCTCCACGAGACTTTCCCGATAGTAGCCGCTCGGACTTTTTGATATGGCCCGCCTTCATATTAGTACCTTTCTTTAGTAGTAACGCTAATACTCGCTTCTATTGTACACGAATATCTTCCTCTGCTACCGTTAATCTACTAAATCGAGTATATAGATATATAAGGCGTTCGTACCGGGTCTAGTAGTTAAGTATAAAGGTATAATATATCGGAGCTAACTTAGTGATAATGTCAACATGTGATCAGATGGAAAGAACAAGGAGATTCCTAACACTCTCATATGCCCCCATGTTATTCTGAAATTTTATTAGTCCTTTCCTGCGACATTCTGCCATGTACCTAAAGTTATAAATACTGCCTATTTTCCTAGCTAAATGAAACAAGTTTGACACCCTTTTCACTCACGAATAGAGCTCAAGGCAATTCTGATTAAACTGTGTTGACCTCTCCACTGTTCAACCTGTTCGCTGCTGACCCACCTCTATTGCACTTTAGTCTCCCTTCCATAATCGTGGTATTCGATCGACCTTGCACATACGCTTCGTGCACTCCTCTGGTTTATGCACACGGCGTAAATCCGACATTGTATACTTATTGAACCCGCTATATTTAGGGAGCACATCACTCTTCTAATTATAGGACACAAGTGACAGGGTAGAAACATACCTAGGTCTTTATGTACACAGTCTAGATAGATACCGGCGCTTCCGGTGATTAAGCTCCCGATTTCTGTCACACTTCTTATGCTCTTGGGTGAATTCAATCTTTTCGTGCGGGTAAGAAAATAAGGTCTAGCACAATTGTATATTGCCTTCTTTCTCTCTCTCAGTCAACACCTGGTTGGTTAGGGGGTGTAGTTCCGGTGGTTCCTTCAGTGACGAGAGAACTAATCAACCAGACCGTCGCTGGGAGACAAATTAAGCGGAAATCATTTCAGAGAATCAATACACATGTTACAGTGTCACAGGAATCCTACCAGCCATTAGTCAGCCCAGAAATACAAGAACACTTCATTTTGAGTCTTCGACGAAAAGGTACCTCCGTGCTATTAGCATCATTCGCGATATGCCAGTCAGCCCATTCTACGTCTTACCCGGAAATTACTATTTGAAACGCCGGCGACATCAAGCGAGATAGCTGAAAGGCCTAGAGGGCCAAAATAATGTATTGAAATCTACGCCACCACGTGAAAAGCTTATTCATTGTTATTTTTGCTCTCTCGAAGTCGAGAAAAGGGAACACAAAAAGCGCCACTGAGTCGTATCATACATGAATGGGTATCAGCCAAACAATTAAAGCTTTTACGTTGAAGAAGATTTGGTAAAGTGGCCTGAGATGGCATCATCCGCAGAGAGTTGCGGGATGCCACAGGAATTTGGTAACAGGCTCCCCATTCCCATTGTTAACGAAAATCGATCCAGCCGATCCCCGATAGCATATTTACGAGGGTTCGCATCTTGCGAATATCTGAAACTGCCAGCTCGTTGACTCGGTGGAATTTCAAGACGGCTTTTCTTTGTAGGGAATTGCCATACTTGATCGTTATGCATGGTGATACTTTGAATTATCGAGCCGAGCGACTGAGAATTAGCAAAATCCCTCGAGTCTGTCGGTAGCGCGGCCAGTAAACGGTCGAGCAACGCGATGGCAGAGTCGATACAACCACGAGATCCGTGCACTAAGGTTGTGGCATGCCTCGACGGAATCACTCCAACAAAACCAGCTGGTGGTTTCGTAGCTGACAACATGAGGTCGAGCTCGACAAGATTTTGTTTTGATTTCAGAAGATTGCCCAAGAGGGATTTCCGCGTAAGTGCCAGAGCAGGTGAGTTTGCCATGAGAATTTGTTTCGTTGTCGCAAGATAACCAGGGCACTTGGCGACTTCGTTGAATGCATAATCAGCTGTCTGACCTATGAGGCTACCCAGTCCTTGCTCATCTTCCGCTCTGGCAATCTCTGTGGTCATCGATTTGCAAGTCCACTCCGAATCGCCTAAGAAGCATGGCACCCCGTGGATAAAGGCATCTGCAACTATATAAGGTCGCCAACACATGAGAAGGGTCCGACCCATGCCACGTTCATGTGCGGAAGGACCACGAGCGCGCATCAGCTGGCAGATGCCGCGTGCATGAATGATCCAGGAACGGTCACTGCTACCATCTAGAACCTCATACCCGCCCAGCAAGATGGCCGCTGCCAGAGTTTCGTCTGTGAGTGCTGACTCGGTCTGTATGAGAGAAGCTAAATGACGGACTCCCCGGCTGTACATATGACGAGCGCACAGGATCGCTTGCCGATTGTCTTGTGAGGCCCCCATAAGTAAAGCCGTCAGAGCGCGAACGGCCCACACTAGAGCCGGGGGAAACGTGGACCATCCGCTCCGGAAGAACCCCATCCAGGTCACCTGCACCCGGGAATCAACGCAGGCACTGACACTAGGGAAATAATACCTGAGCCATCCTTCGAAGGATTCTCTGGTTTGAATGCTGATCGCCTCGTAAGCCAAACTTGGGGCAAATTGTTCATCCATGGCTGACCGGGCATGTTTTTGTATGATATCTTGCGTCTGGTCCTTGAATTTGCGGGCACGATCATAACCCGGGCATTTTGACCCGCGATTAGTGCACCGCACGCATTCTGGGCGTGTTTCATCGCACTGTATGTCATTTTAGCTCATCGCTCCGGGCCTTAATTGGAAGTGTCTCTCTGCATCATTTGGTGGGCACTGGGGCTCCCAGTGTAACCCATGAAATATGCTGGATTAACAACTGACCTTGATCCTGCGCTGAATACACCGGGAACATCCCCGACTGCGGGGGACCCCAACCATGACTTCGATCGTTGATTCGTTGCCCCCGAGGTTAGTCACTCTGTAGTGGATTCTGCAGCTTGTTTTCACTGCCGGACCGATACCAAGATGGCCATTATTGGACCAATACCCTGTTTACCTAATGGCGACATTCACATCTGTCAATCTGCCAGGGGAGAAATAACCGATTCTCTCCTGAGATGGAATACGAGGGAGGCTGAACCTGAACAAAAGCCCAACATGCGCCACCCGTCCAATGTCACACCGCCCGGCAGAAACAGCAGGCATAATGAGCACGTGATATTGAGTTGACTTCATTGTTTCACCATGTTCACTTTGTTCCCTCTGTACATTTCAGCAATGTCCCATAATTAGCATGATGAAGCCAGAAATTCCATCCCTCTTTGATGTTTCGATTGCAAGGTCCATGAACCTGAGTGGCATGGAACACACCTTGACAGGAGAAATGTGGTCGGTTTGACACGCGCGATTTGGAGAGCCAGTGAACATCTCCGCAAGTCACGATGGCGCCAAGCCACATCATCCAGTCTTGGTCCGAGTCTTCTTCGACAGTACCAGACTAGGCCATTTCGTTCGGTCGGCAATGTGACGTTGATCGAGAGCATTCATGCGGCATTATTACTGACTGCTCTTAGCGGGAGACCTGCGCCATGCACCTGGATAGTGAGTGACTTGTTCCGTCCAACGAGATGGCTTCGTCCGACTCCGCAAGCCGCCCCACGCATCCACACGTGGGGGGCCATGGGCCCTGCTCATGTGCTGACAACCTGACAGCTACTGTAACTAGCGCGATCTCAGGACTGTCAGGAACGAAGCACAACCAACTCCATCAGCTACCGGCATGATTGGACAGACCAAATCTCTCGCACCACGTCTGACCTACGACGGCATCGTACTCAATCTCACCCTCGACGCGATCCAAGTCAACACACTGGTCATCGCAAGTGCAAATGCCTCAGTCTATCATGGTGGGCTTGGTCGGCAGAGGGACTATAAAAACCCTGCACGGCGCAACATGTTAACTTCCACTCAACATTGATTCTATTTTGCCTTGGCCGTTGACAGAGAGTCTGTGACTTAGTCTGCCACAATGCCGCCATTAGTCACTTCCGTGCGCTGGAATGCTGCAGACGAGGAGTCGGCTAATCGCTCCATCTGGCCCCACGAACATGTGCGCTCGAAGGGCAACAAAAAACATCAGGTTCAAAGACGAGCCAGTCAGCGATCAATTGATCCTGCAGCTGCTATTCCAATCGAATATCGAAGCCTGTCAGTCCCCATGATCCCCTTCTCACCCTATTAGCGCTAATGTCAAGATTCAAGTTCGTTCGAGATTGAGGATGACGCGCAGAGAGAGCAACGGTTCAAACGTCAGGGTCGCAGAGACAAATTAGCCGAAGGTAATGAAGCCTAACTTCCACCTTTCAATCCAGCTTGTGGGCGCGCGCTAACGCCGACAATAGAATGGCAAAGCACGGATTGGCACACTCTGTCTGTGGAGGAGGTACAAAAGCAACTCAGCGCCGATGTGATGTCTGGCTTGTCTACGAACAGAGCCGCTGAGCGTCTGAAACAATACGGCCTCAACAAGATTTCCCCTCTGCCCAACCCCTGGCTATGGAAAATATTCGGTTACTTTTTCAAGGGCTTTGGTTCAATTCTTCTCATCGGTGGTATCCTGGTCTTCATTTCATGGAAGCCGCTTGGTCAACCCCCGGCTGTGGCTAACCTTGCACTGGGCATCGTTCTACTCGCGGTATTTGTCATCCAAGCGGGCTTCAATGCCTGGCAGGATTGGTCCTCGTCTCGTGTGATGGCATCGATTACCGCGATGCTACCTGAATCGTGTCTTATCCTCCGAGATGGGCTTCGGTCTGAGGTTGTATCCACGGAGATTGTTCCAGGCGATACAGTATTCATCAAATCAGGCACGAAGATACCAGCGGATGTGAGGTTCATCGAAGCTTCACACGACCTAACGATCGATCGCTCTATTGTTACGGGTACGTTTTATGTGGACACTCGCTAGGTTCAAAGTCACTAACAGTTGCAGGCGAGTCAAATCCCATCAAGGCTACGATCGACTCCACGTCCGAGAATTACCTTGAAACACGATGCATTGGTCTCCAAGGCACACACTGCGTTTCCGGTACGGCTACAGCAATCGTCGTGGCTACAGGCGACTCGACCGTCTTCGGGCGCATCGCAAAGCTTGCGGGTGAGCCAAAAACTGGTCTGACAACCATTGAAACGGAGGTATTGCGGTTTGTACTATTGATTTTCATCATCATGGTCATTTGGATTGTAATTCTCGCTGCGGTTTGGTATGTATCACCCTACAAGCTCAAGGATTCATTCGACGAATGCAGGCAGGGTCTCACAATTTATTAGGGGCGGGTGGCTTCGCAAAGCGCATCCGGACTACATCAACGTACCTACCCTTATTGTTGATTGCGTCAGTGTCGCTATTGCCTATATTCCGGAAGGCTTGCCAATTGCCGTCACTGCCAGCCTGACGATCACAGCCAACTTGTTAAAGAAGAACAAAGTTCTGTGCAAATCTCTCAAGACTGTCGAAACTCTGGGGGCAGTCTCTGTGATATGCACTGACAAGACTGGCACGTTAACGCGGGTATGTCCATTACCTTTACGACACTGTTCCACATGATGCTGATAAGCTGCTTCAGAATCGAATGTCTGTCACAGACTATGCGGTGCACACAGAGAGCTCGACTTGGGATACAACGGGTTCAGATAAAGCGTCCCAAATCAACCAATCTGCTATGCATCAGCTTCGTTCTTTATCCGGTCTTTGTAATGCTGCTGAGTTTGACAACAATTCTCAGAATCTGCCTTTGAGTGAAAGAGCCATTTTCGGTGACGCTACTGACCAAGCAATCCTTAGATTCTCAGAAGGATTAGGACCTGTTTCTGAAGAGAGACAAGCATGGAAGTCCCTTTATACCCTGGCTTTCGACAGCAAAAATAAATTCATGATCAAGACGTTTGCCTCAGCCAGGGCAGACAGCCCTGGATTATCGCTATCACCGACGGAGGCTTCGAAATTTCGGCCAGATGATATGTGCGTTCAAATCATCCCCAAATGAGCTTTCAGCAAACATTGACGTCCTTCCAAGGCTGTTCACTATCAAAGGAGCCCCTGACATCTTGGTCACTCGTTGTACACACATTCTAGGACCAGACGGCGAAACTCGGCCATTGAGTGAAGATGTTTTGCGCAAAGTTGAAGAAAGGATTCAGGAGTGGTCTTCCGACGGCAAACGAGTTCTGCTTTTGGCTCGCAAGGTATTGGCCCAGGATGGATCTTCCACAGATCCCTCGGGGCCAGAATATGAGGCGCAGATGCTCCATGAAGCGAAGACGGGTCTTACTCTGGTCTGCCTTGTGGGACTGATCGATTCACCGCGCTCAGAAATCCCCGAGGTCATCAAAATTCTGCGACAGGCCCAAATCCGTGTTTTCATGGTACACCGCCCAGTTCGAACAACTTGATTCCTTCTAAACACTAACATTCTCACAGGTGACTGGTGACTTTGGTCAGACGGCACTTGCGATTGCCCGCCAATGTGGTATCGTGACCTCTGACTTCGTCCACGATTCGTCTGCACTCTCTCGGGAACCCGCATTCGACGAGAAAAACGTTGATTCGTCTCCATCCGCCTTGCTTGTCAGTGGAAGCGATTTGATGGGGTTTAACGAGTTGCAATGGGAACAGCTATGCAAGTATCGTGAAATTGTCTTCGCCCGTACTACCCCCCATCAGAAGTTGCGAATCGTGCGAGAATTGCAGTCCAGAAGTGAAACGGTCGCTATGACAGGAGACGGTGTCAACGATGCCCCGGCTCTCAAAGCAGCTGATATTGGTATCAGTGTCGCGAGCGGCTCGGATATTGCCATTGAAGCTGCCGATATGGTCCTACTTGACTCGTTCGCAGCCATTGTGGAGGCTGTTCGATATGGAAGGGTAGTGTTTGACAATCTCAAAAAGACAGTCGCATACCTCCTTCCGGCCGGTTCCTGGTCCGAATTCTGGCCCGTTTTTACCAACTTGATATTCGGCATCCCGCAAATATTGTCATCATTCTTGATGATTATCATTTGGTAAGAACACGGTCCGTTAATTCTTACCATGAGTGATTAATTAACAAATACTCCTAGTTGCTTTACGGACTGTGCCGCTGCAGTTGCTCTGGCATATGAGGCCCCTGAAGCAGATGTACTCTATCGCCCACCACGCCATCCAACCAAGACTCGGCTTGTTGATTGGAAGCTCATATTCCACTCTTACGCCGTTATTGGGATGATTGAGACCGTTTGTTCTTTCGCCATGGCTTTCTGGTATCTTCAGAGGAATGGCATCCCGTTCTCTGACCTATGGTTCAAGTTTGGTGAAATTCCATCGGGAATAGACGTCGACTACTACAATGCACGTGTGAATGAAGCTAGTTCGATCTACTTCATCAACCTTGTCATCATGTGCGTCTCTCCTTCACATGGAAGTTTTGTCAGTCGACTAATTCAGATACAGGCAATGGTTCAATCTCATGGCCGTGCGGACTCGCCATCTCTCAATCTTTCAGCATCCACCTGCATTCAATAAAGACACCCAAAATCTGTATCTCTTCCCAGCAATCGTGTTCTCATTGGGCATTGCTGTCATCTGGCTCTATATCCCAAGTTTGCAAATTGTTCTCAACACATCAGGCATACCTGCAGAGCATTTCTTTCTCCCTGCTTCTCTGGGCCTCGGACTACTTTGCCTAGACGAAGCCAGGAAGGCAGCAGTTCGTCGCTGGCCCAACCAGTTCTTTGCAAGAATAGCATGGTGATATCTTCCTTACTGTAACTCTAGTCCAAGGTGAACAGTTCTACAACTTCCGCTTTCTCGCGTGGCCCTGCCATGTTTCCTGTATTACTTAAATCAAATGATTTCGTTCGATCTCATGTCTTCTTTTTGCCCCACTCTTTTCTTTTGATCTGACATTCTCTGTGAATACACGCACGCCGATAATCTCTTGCATGCGAATTCTTCTTAACATGGCTTTGTAGTCGAGGCACGAGAGACATAGACGCCCGAGACGAAGACCCAGAGCAGAAACAGCATTACAAGGACGGCAGGAATACATATGATGCCCTCTCAGGGCATGTACTGCAGGCGAACAAATCCTAATTGAGATAGGTGGTACTAAAAAGCAAATGTGATGCGAGCAAAAGAAGACGAAGACAATCAAACAAATTTATCCCGGTAGGTAAACACTGTCAATGACTTGTCCATAAGCGATTCCCCTTTTAATGACGATATATCCTTTCCAATCCGTCGTAATCCTCCAAGTCAGTGAAAAAAAAAAATTCATGAAACAAAAAGAATAAACAAGGAGCCAAACCAAAGAGAAGAAATCTACGAACCCCTAATACAGGTGTAAACCCGAACCCCCTCAGTTGTCCCCTGACTACGCAGGTCGCCTACATAGTACAATATATATCTTGGTGGGAAATAGGTGCGAGCAACTAATTTCGTTGCGATAGCCTATGCTTCTTGAGACGAACTACTCCCAGGTACAAAGAAGATAACTTAGTTATGAGTTACTAGGTAGCGAATGCAAGAAAGAAAATTGGGCGGGATCTCGATTGATTAAAAAGGAAACATGGATTTGGGTTTTCATTTACTGCCTGACAAATCAGGCAGCAATAATCAGATTAGCACAGCCACTACCCGCTGAACAACTCAAATTGTGGCTATCCGCTGCTGGCGTCCCCTCTAATGCTGAGTGTAATAGGTCGTGGAGACTTGAGGTCGAAATAGTCCACAAGCCTTGGCTTGAGGTTTTTGCAAGCCATGGGCTCTGAACCGGATATGGATCTGGCTGCAAACCACTAGTATCATGGCTAAAGCGCACTCCCAGTCCATTCAACCCTTGGATATGATGGCTTGAGGTCAGTGTGACAAGGAAAAGTACAATGTGCAATCGTCATAACAACCAGCTTGGGTTACCGATTTTTCATGATTCCATAGTGCGTTCAGACCAAAGTTTCATGCTGACGATCCCCGTTCGAGCTCCCGTTAACCGGCATTGACCTCTCTGTTGTTGCATTTTGCTCTGCCGGGGATACTCTCCCCCAGCCATTATTTGACCTAACTGCACTGTACGCAGTCTGTGGACGCTGCTCACCAAAAGGATTATCCTTAAACAGGATCGACGAGCGGTCAGGGATAAGCTCGGCAGTGGAACCTCCTCTAGATGCAACAAGTGGCTCTGTAGGTTTGGCACTCATAAGCTCTCGTGCGGCAAGGCGCTTGGATTTCGCCCGATCCCTAGCACAGTGCAAAATGCTGACACCGGAAAATAGCGAGATGAGACAACAGGAGAAGATGGTAGCCGCGATGTTTCCCTTGCGATTCCACTCGGCAATTTCGGCACTTGTGGTACTTGTGGCAGAGGCGGTAGTGGTCGTTGTAGAAGAACTTGTTGCTGTCGTCGTCGACCTACTGGAGGTCGTCGAAGTTGAAGTGGTTGTAGACTGGGTAGAGGTCGATGTGGTTGAGCTTGTACTCGTAGTTATAGTCGAAGTAGATGATGTGCTAGTAGAAGTGGAAGTGGAAGCTGAGGTTGACGAAGTAGAGGTGGTTGATGTGTCCGAATATGTTGTACTCGTCGATGTTTCTGAGCTCGTACTCGCGGTTGTTGTTAATGTTGTTGATTCGGAGGTTGTGGGTGTATCACGAGCGATAATGATGACTCGATCGATATCGTCTCGTGCACTAGGATGGTTCAAGTTTTCATCGGTACTGGATGATGGAACATCATATATTTCGGATTCGATTGAAGACGTTGAGGGCCTATACGGCTGGCATGCGATTAATGCAAAATGCGACGCTAGTAGCAGAATAGCTGTTCCTCGGAGTCTGGTCATGTTGATCATAAGCTACCACGAGAGAGGGAAATAACAAGGAAAGTTGGGTCTATAGGGAATAAGAACAAGAGCCTTAAGTAGAGCTACTAAAAATTCGCTTGACGTGGTTGCGACTTGTTTGACGTATGGTTCTGACGTGAACAGAGGCTCCTATTGGCCGTTTCCACCGTCCTCAACTGCATGTTCTCACTAATTTGCTTAGCTTCGTGATGAAACTCATGGTCTGAACTATTTTTGCAATATTGAATCGTGAGAAAGCCACTGGTGATGTGGTGGAGTAGAATATAATTCAATGGCACACGCACATGCCGCGCGGCAATGCTCCACCAACACAGGGCTGATCCAAGGTGATCGAAAAAACGTTATCATCACTTAATTCATTCCTGATTGTTCTAGATGATAGAAAATAATACCCTGAAATTCATGTTATTTAGCCGTTCAAGAAGTAGAAGTCTCTATATTTGTCACTTTCAGCACATATAAAGTCCTGCCCTGGCCTGTGTTGTGTGAGGGTACCGATGATGTCTCCACTTTGACGTTGCTGTTTCTCCTTAACGATTAACCTGATATTGCAATGTCGCCAAAAAACATATCCGTCGCAGCCCATTCAATAGTTTTGCTTTACGTAGCTGCCACTCACAGCATACCATGGCTTTAGTTGATCATAACTTGTGTGGGAGAAGGCTGAACACCCAGTATTGGACCAAATCGTAATGCCTTGGCCTATTCCCTCTTCCTCGCATATCACGCTGGCTTTGATGATAAAGAGAGCTTGAGAGAGACGACTGCGTTATCGTGTGAGCTGTTGCACCCTGGGTGAGAAACATGTGACTCCATAATTACAAACTGTGGCCAAGGTTAGTGATTTGTGGCTCAGATACCTTACGTGTGTGAGATTTTCGGTGGGTAAGATGCTGGCCGACCGGTGGGGACGCACAACTTGGGCAGATTAATTTGACAGCTTATATCTACCAAGTGCATGTGAGGTTAATATCCGTTGGTCTGAATTATAGTATTTTAGCCCTTGAGAGAAAAGTTTAACTTAGATTAACATTGGCCGCATTTGAGGGCTTCGGTATTAACATGAAAAATCCTCTTGCTCTGGCAAGAGTGGAGTGTGGCTTCCTATACTAACGGAGGTGGCGGGTGGGTATTGAGTGAACCTATTGTCTCCATCAACTGATAACAATAATGAGACTCCAATCGATGCGCCACATACATGTAGAGACGTAGCTTGAATTTGATTCGTTAGTTGTAAAAAATGTTCAATTGTGACTCAGTAATTGACAAACTAGTCAATGCCACCTTTCGCCCAACTACTAGGTAACGGTCGCGTAATCTTTGTCTTCATGGGAAGAGCTTAAAGATCGTCATTTCACCAGTCAACCACTCCAAAATTTCGATAGCTACAAAAGTGGCATATATGGAAATACTACTCAAGCCTGACCAAGCGAAAGCTCAATAGCCGTTATGATTCGCGACATAGAGACATCGGGCGCAGGGCTCGAGAGCTGTTCTCGACGACTGATACTTATCTTTGAACAAATCTACTTTCAACAGAGGAATCAGAAATAAGCCACCGATATTAGCTTGCTTGTAATGGAGGCCTTAACTCGTGTTATTCCCCGATATTTCACAATCAATCATCTCAAAGCAAATTTTTTCCAAGGGCATTGACCGCACAATATGACGCACGAGGTAATCTCGCATTCAACGCCACAGCCCGTGGCAGCTACCTGTCAACGGGGATCTACACTTCCAGTCCCGACCTAGGCTAAAGCTCCCCCCTGATATGGAAGTGATCATGGGGCTTATGGCATTTGACTTTACTGGGCAGTGCGCCCATTGGGCATTTAATTTATTTGCATAACCGCACATTTGCCAAATGACGCAACATAAATCAAAGACAAATTTTGTGTACATTTTGAGCGCTCTTACCTTAACATTTATCCTGGCTTATTGATCTCCTGGAAACTCACAGCGAGTATCTGATGGCGGCAATCGCTGAAGCTAGGTTTGACCCCCTAGGAAGCTGACGTCACCGAGGCCTGTAAACGGTGAAGTGAAATTGATAACTAATAAAAATCTGAGCGCTTATAGTCAATGGCAGAGCATTCCCTGACGTCAGCTATATACAAATAAGATGCAGAATGTAATATATAAGTACCATCTTCTCGGGCTTCGATATAATTCTTAAATCTTTCCCTATCCCCAGTCCAGGAACAACTCGGGATTTGCTCGTTTTTATATACAAATACTCTACTTATCACCTGGCAGGCCGATTCTAAGTCATGCCTATCTTCCACCGTGATTCTACTGCTAGCTCCTCCTCTGGGCGGAGCATTGATGATCCAAATCAAACAAAGACTCACTCAGGACTGTTCGGGAGTCGATCATCTCATTCTACTCATTCTTCTTTTTCTTCCGGGTCTGGTTCTTCTTTAAACAGCTCTCGCCGCCGTGGTCTTCTTCACAGGACAGCCGAGGATCCGTCTATTCTGGCTGCGCGGGAGCAGGTAATGCGTGCAGAAACGGCCGAAAGAGAAGCCGACAAGGCACTCATTGCCTCCCGGAAGGCCGTGAAAGAGGCAAGGGACCATGTTAAGCATCTTGAGCGAGAAGCGGCTGAGGAGTCAGTATCATCCTGCGAATGGAGGTGGCTCATAACGTTGACTAATATCGTCTTGTTTCACAAATAGGGCCCGCTTAGCGAGAATCAAACAGGACCAAGCTAAGTCTATCTCAAAGAGAGCGAAGCCGCTCGGACGTAAGTTTGTTACCTTTTCGTTTCTCTTTTAGTAAGAAAATTTGTAACAGCTACTGATAGTAGAGACTATAGGTCACATTTGAGAATTTTAGTTCATGACTGATGCAAATACTGCCTTAGTATCCGATGCTCTCTTTAATGAGTGACGAAGTTTCTTGTGTGGATATAGTTGGAATAAATGTACCATATTTTATCGCAGCCCTCATGCTTAAATCATTTTATCTATTTTATCTACAGGAACCATGAAAACAGGCTTGGTCTCAATGGTTCTGGCTCGTAATAAGCTAGGATTTATGTATACTTACCGATCCTACCTTCGGATAACTACTACTTATTTTCGCTCGTGTAGGTCAGTCTTCAAGTCATGAGCTTTTGAAGGCCCGCTCTATTCGAGTCCCGTAGGTATCACATTCCTTCTCACGTGGCATAAATACATGCCTATGTTACATTCGGAATGTTACCCCGTCCACGACTGACTATCAAATTTTCAGGTTTCTGCACAGGGAGAGATAAAGTGTTACACAATCTGAGGCTAAGCAACATGTTCCGAGGAGAGGTGTATCTAGAAAGAAATACGTCGAACAAATCCTCTTTTCTATGGTTGTTCTTATCATTATAATCCGGATCTAGCTTTCAATGGCGGCCTTTCTTCGTAGTCGAAAGCCTTACGCCATACCGTTTTCGAATCTTACACATGTTGGCCCGCCGATAGCTGCCGTGGAACAGCCCAAAGAAAATACAGGTCCCTAGAAGGATGGAAGGCGAGTGAGCAGAATAGAGCTATATTCACCGACCTGAATTTGGACTAGGTTGAGTTGAGATATGTGGATATGTCTTCCTGACTGGAGATAGGCCTTACTGGAGTTACACTTCGGAGATCAGCTGCGCTGTGAGCTTTTTATCATCTTCTGAGTGCTGTGACCATATAAACTTAGTCTTCACGACTCTATAATTGGAACAAGTCACTAGAGCGTCAACCAAATCGCTTTTTCTCCAAAGTTTTCAAGCTCACACTAATTTCAAAATGGTGACAAAGGCATATCTCATGATAATAGTGTCCAGTTTGGTTATTCTGGTCAACTCGCTTCCAGAAAATGGCACTTATAACTATCGCAACCAAGACCAGTCTGCAAACCGGCTAGTTATTGCACACTTCATGGTCAGTTGATCCCTATCAACATCCCTATAAAACCAATCGACAGGTCAAGGATGATAGAGGTAAAATACCAAGATTAACACAGGCGGCAGATAGGAATCACGAGTGATAGAAGCAGTGCGTCTGAGTATGACGATGACATGAAGCGAGCCAGCTCGCTTGGCATCGATGCCTTTGCACTCAATATCGGTCTCGATCCATATAGTGATCAACAGTTACAACTCGCGTATGCGTCGGCTGCTCGGAACTCCATGAAGGTATTTCTCTCCTTTGACTTTAATTGGTGGCACAAGGGACCAGTCCAGGAGATCGGCCAAAAGATTGCTCAATACGCTAGCCTATCAGCTCAGTTGATGATAGATGATAAGATATTTGTGTCTACTTTTGCTGGAGATGACTTAGATGTTGCAGCTCTTTGGGCCTCCGTTGGCAAGCCGATATTCTTCGCGCCTAATTTCCACCCGTCCTATGGGACGAACACTTCGGTTTCGGCTGTGGACGGCCTTTTGAACTGGATGGCGTGGCCTGATAATGGCCGAAATAAGGCTCCTACGTCTACCCAAAATATCTCTGTCGCAGATGGCGATCGTGCATATATAAACGCCTTAGGTGGAAAGGCATACGTTGCGCGTTAGTCTTCCTTTTTTAGCCCTATCGAAATATTTCAAAGATCAATACTTAGAGAGATATCTAATCGTGGCGGTTAGCCGTATCACCCTGATTCTTCACGCATTTCGGCCCTGAAGTGTCTTATAGTAAGAACTGGGCCTTTCCGTCTGACCTTCTATGGTACAATCGATGGAATGAACTTCTAGCATTAGGACCTCGTTTTGTTGAGATCGTGACATGGAATGATTACGGTGAATCTCATTATATTGGACCGCTTCAATCTCAACACACCGATGATGGGGCATCTAAATGGGTTAATGACATGTGAGGTATAGATTATTTTGTTTCGCTTTCCTTTTATACTAACGTTGAATACATTTGGTAGGCCTCATGATGGGTGGCTTGATATGGCTAAGCCGTTTATCGCGGCGTCCAAAGCCGGTACATCATCGTTAACGATTAAATCTGATCAGCTTATCTACTGGTATCGACCGGCTCGACGAGATGTTAATTGTGACTCGACTGACATTTGTATGGTCTCCGCAAATAATGCGAGCGGAAACTATTTCCTTGGGCGACCTGATGGCTGGGAGCCGATGGAGGACTCGGTTTTTGTGGTTTCCTTACGTACTGCCCCTACTTCTGTTCACGTTAACAGCGGAGGGATAGTCTATATCTACGAGGCCCCTGCTGGCGCATCTGTACAGGCGATTCCTATGAATGTTGGAGTCCAAAGCTTCTCTATCAGCCGTAACGGTCAAGTTGTTCTTTCGGATACCAGTCTAAAACCTATCATCAACATTTGCGTGTGTGGTCTTTATAACTTTAATGCCTATGGTGAGTTGGTTATATGATCTGGTCTGTTTGTTTCACTATAGGGCGGCCTTATCTAATGTAGTGCTTCTTAGTTGGGACTTTGCCGGCTGAATTTAGCGATCCACTTCAATCCGATGGCCTCGCTTCCTTCCGTCAGGGCTTGCATGTACAAACTTGCGAGGCATCACCATCACTAGGAACGGTACCTCCTACGGCCAGTATTACCTCGACAACGACGATTTCTGCCTCTACAACATCGGCCACGTCTGTCACTACGTGCAGCGCGACGACATCTACTTTCTCTAGTATTCCTCCAACTACCCCTTGCAAAGCCACCACCTCTACTTTAACACAAACCTTCACTACAACAATCACTCAAACCATGACCCAAACTCAGACGCTCACGGTGTCGGCCACAAGCTGCTTAACAGGAGGTGATGGAAACAGCAACGTTTGTACGGGCGGAACAGGACCAGGAAATTACGTTGGGCTCTGCGTGTTCTGCTGCCGATTTGGCTACTGCCCCCTGGGCCTTGCACTTGTACTCAATATGGGGCCCGCATCCCAGCTCCGCCATCTACTGGTATTCGAGGAGTTTCCCTGCCGGGTGAAGATGACTCGTATTCTGGGCTATGTAGTTTTTCTTGCGATCATGGATACTGTCCCCCGACGGCCTGTACCAGGGCATAAAGGGTCGGTATATGAAATTGGTCCCTGGATTGATTCAAGAGGAAGAGAATGGTTTCTAGGTCTTCTATTTTAAGTAAGAGATTAGTATAATTATATTTATTGATATATCTATCTCTGTCTTAAGTTCCTCCGTACTTCCCCATCTCTTTTGCTCATGACTCTTGATATCGGTTCCACTCATTCGCATGATCACTTCATAGTTACTGCAAAGCTCCCCGTCTTTGTTTGATTTTTGTTTGATTATGAAAAAGCAAAATCGGCGTTTGTTCCTTCCAACAATAGAACCCAAGTCGCCCTTCCCCGACCGTCTATCATTGTCCAAGACCCCTCATTCTGGATGAATAGTTGGCAGTTGGAACGTTTTAGTTGGGCGTGGTTCATTCCCTGCATCTTTCCTCAGTGATGCCTTCCATTGTAAGCGCCGCGGGATCTTTCGTTTCCTCGGACACGTTGACGTTTGTCTTGATCTATTTATTCAAGATTGGGCCAAGGATTGAGCTAAAGGTCTCCGTGTGCATGGTCAAAGAAATTGTGAACCTTGAAAGAGATCAGTCGTGAAACACAGAAAATATGAATAGAACGAGTCGTCCTCTCTACATCTGTTATTCCTTTGTTTTGTGATACTCAAAGTTACCGTCTTCTCTTTTTAGTCCGTCAGTCAAGTTCCTGTTGAAAGAACATCTTCTTGGGGGGTTTTTCATATGTATTTCAGTCTTTTTTTAGTCCTCTCCATTCTTGGATTGTATAATAGGCATTCACTGCCAGATTCGTTGTGGAGCAGTTCTCGTGGACCTCGGAGCAAATTTTTAAAAGGACCATTTGCCTTGCATCCGCCCTATAAAAAGCCTCTGACCCTCAAAGAATTGAATTTCCACATACCATCTCTTCTATTAATGGACATCATGGGCAAACGAGCTTCAAAGAAAGGTTCGGCATCAGGCTGCCAAGAGGATAGCAAGAGTCGTAACTCGCAGACCGAGCTCTTTGCAGGTCCCAGCGTCACAGATGCCACACTTCAACAAAGCGTTCTCGACCTCCTTCGAGGGATATACGATGAAGGTAGTGGAGATCTCAGATCCAGTGTCCACCGCAATAAAGTCAGTCAAGCGATTCGCGATCGAATGGACAAGATGCAGGGCGAAATCCAGATCCATTCAGATTCACGGGATTCCGTTGTGGATATCCTCTATACAATGTTCAAACTGCTGCAAGCGCAGTGGAAAAAACAAGGACCTTCCAAGTCTTCAAAGCAGCCTGAGCCTCCAGCTCCGTCGGAAAATCCCAAGCCCGCAACGCAGTTAGAAAACACCCAGCCACCCGGTAGTACGTTCGACCAGACCGGCCTGTCAGTTGTACCCGATGCTGATGTGCAAATTATCACCCACGACAACCCTGGTCAGCCCTTGCCGGTTCGACTCAGTGATCTTCTGCCAGACTCAAACGATCTCACTCACAGGACCCTGAACGGTGGTTGGGTTTAATGCATCGGCCATCAGCCTCGATGTTTTGAGAGAAGGTCTTGTCAATGAAGGTTACCTGGGGGAGGGTGCAACACTCTGTTGAGTCCTCACGCCCTGAATGATATCGATCAGACACAGCTTGGTACTCCCCAAGAAGGCGAAACCCGCCTGACGTCGATAAATCCGGGATCAACTGTGATACGGGTCATTACCACTTATTATCCGTCTCATCGGAATCCGTCTCCGGACAATGTGGACGGAAATCCTCGATCACCACTGCCACGACCCAGTTTCAAAATCATCATTCGGCCTCAGGCGATCAGTGGCGGGGCATTAGTGTCGCAACAGCCAGAACTCGCACGCCCTGGGACTACTCGTCGAGGATCCTTGGACACGAGTCCTGGCAGATCAAGACTACCTCCACGAACCGCAACTGGAGATCCGGGTGCACGACCGACAATTAGTGAAGTTCCTGGCCCTCAACGGGATACTCCAAAGCGCCCTCTCCCAGCTTCAGTCACTACCGAACCCCCAGTTCCTTCTACCAGTGCTGGTCCTACTGTTCCTTCTGTTCCTCCGCCTGTTGCAAGGCGCATTCCTCGAAAACGTCCTATGGCCGCCTCGGTCCAGAATGCTCCCGGGTTTGATCTCACCATTCCACAATCGGCCATTGATGCTCTGAACGCCCCCGGGCCGGGCTCTGGGTGGTTTGAATACGATGGGTTGGTTATTGTTCCTAGGAGAAGCCCTGCTCCAGAGACGACGCAACCTGCTGCACTGCCGACCGCACAGCCGACTGCACAGCCCACCGTGCAGTCCACGGCAAATCCGGGCGATAGACGTCGTAGGGAGATTGATGACGAACCCTCTGACCGTCCCACTCAGAGACGAAGACTGTCTGATCAAGGTTCCTCGCGACCTGACCCATCAAAGGAATCCACCGATATAAGCATGTTTGATGCCTCGTCGTTGCCAGATACCATAGGCTTGGCAGAAACAAGACGACTCAGTGACTCTCTTGGTTGGCCTGCGCAGCCCAGTATTGCCCGATCGCCGCCTCGTCTCCTTTCGACTAAATAGACTGGGCAGCGCAACCGGCCACTTGGCATTCGAACGTGGCAGAGTGTGCGTCAAAGAATGCCCCGACATGCGAGGAGTATGCCGCGGACATTCTCCGCTGGAAGGTCGCTCATAGAAGCTCCCAGGACTCTTCGGCGGTAGGTCAATATATCCCTCCTGTGGCAGAGCTAATAAATGAAGTCGTACCTAGTGCAGGTCCAGATCTATACGAACAGGTAGGTGAGCCGTGGCTTGGTATGAGTGAGCGCCGCATGCCTCCGGGCGTTCAAGGAGCCATCGCAAGTCGTCGATTCTCGGCGGAGATTACGCAAGGGACGGAGCAAATAGCTTTAACTGGTGAGCCTGAACAGCCTTTCGCGTCTCGTGTCCCTCTCACTGTCACTTCCGTGCCCACCGGGCCTGTACCGGCGGTTCCCCGAAGTGCTGATGACAGGATATCTGCTGTCCGTAAACCCCGTCGCCGTTTCAGCGAGCACCAAAGACGACCAAATGACTCGTCATCGAGTGACAGCCAGGTGTCTTCCCGTAAGAAGCGACGTCTGAATATGAGTCCGGCATCGAGCAGTCCCAGTCCACCCAAAGGCAAAACGACGAAGTTCCACGTCTGCAGACCCGGCTTGGGCCAGTGTGGTCGACATGTCAAGGGAGGTGGGGCGTCTTTCTACTACTCGGCCATCACGATCGACTCATTCATCACAACATGCAACCCCGGAACCACGATTTGATAAACGATCGGCTAGACGTGGGGGTTTGAGCAAGTATTATTCTTCTTGTGTCACGACTTGATAACTGTCTTTGGGTTTGGCGTGCTTTCTTCATACCCCCGTTGTTCTTCCCATTCCGTCTCGAAATTTCCTGTGTTGGACTCTGCAGACTTTTTCAGAACTTTCCGTCACTCTGTAAATACTTTGTACATCCTTGCAACCTGTTGAAATTATCAAAACCATGCGATTATATACAAACCCATTTCATTTGTGCCTGCCGCCTAGTAAGTTTTAATAATACAATGATTAGAAGAATCAAAGACAATCCCAACAAAAGTCCCACTCGAGTCCAATAACGGCACAACTTCCAGGCTAGCACACCACGGTGAAGCCTATATTGTAATGTATACATGATGTTAGTCAGGGCCATGCTGATTGACGCTGAAGTGGAGAAGGGAGGAAGAGGGAAGGAGGATCTTGACGAACTGCTGCAACGACCGAGCCCACCAGCGACTGGGGATCAGCATCGAAAATGAACAGCGAAACGACCGAAGTTTGGCGCAGCGGCGACATCCAGTGTCGCCAAGATCAGCAGGGTCTTGAAGCCCATCGTGTAAGTAACTAGCGTAGCGAATTTGGGATGGCTTTGAATGAGCCTCTCGATCGAATGGGGGCAGACTCTTTGTCTGTTTTTTCCACGCGACCGGAGATGTCGTCCACTAGTGTTGCTTGAATCAACAGACCCCTGAATTGGATCACTCGCTTGAAATAATACATCAGTATGATTGAAGAGTCAAAGGAATCTCTACTTAAATCATCTTTATTGATCAAATAGATCTGTACTACGTCACCCCTATTGACTCACCGAATCGGCCGTGGCTGATCCCTTCCCACTGGAGAGGGTGCACTGGTATCTAACACTGAACATTATTGACCATTGCTCATCAAAAATTACAATATATATCCATAGTGATTCCACCGGCTTACTTATCAGCCTCAAAGATCACCTTCTGACATTTCATCTGGTTGAAATCATCATACCTGCGAACATGGTGAGCTTCAATCTTGGTGGCTGCAGAGAGGCCTATTCTCAGCCTGTATGGAGGACTCGACTTACGCTTGCACAGCTTGAGAGAGTGGACGAATGTCTTCAGACATGAAACTATTTCAAGTCAGTCTTCTGAACGGGTACCTATAGTTCCCGCGAGAGACTTACTTCAAAACGCCTTGCTTCTTAGCCAACAACTCCATGGCTTCTCCGAAAATACCTAAACAAGTCAGCGCATGCTTACAGGCGACCAGCTCGAATGACGGTACTTACTGCGAACCGGGCATCGTCCCATCTGCAGACGCAGGTTCTTGCCATAGGCTTCATTACCGGTCCAAGGAATCTCGCCGTTATGCACACCAACGCTGGAGAGTACTCCCCATGGACGAAGCATCTCGAATCCCATCCGTAAGGCGCTGCTGTGGCCCACGACCTCAATCACAACATCCGCACCCCGACCATCTGTGAGTTCCTTGACTCTTTCGCGTAGACCAGCTTCATTGTCTTGGAAATTCCATGGCTCGGCGCCGAGACTCTGGGCCAGCTGTAGTCGGGAAGGAACGCTATCAATCGCAATCAAATGCTTAGGACGATGCTCCAAGGCGCTAACCAAGGCACAAATCCCCACTGGCCCACATCCAAACAACAACACGGTGCTGTTCTGAATTGTCTGGGGTTCTAGGCCACGGAATGCGTTGCTTGCAGCAAAATACCCGGTCGGAAAGATATCTGCCATCAAGACCAGCTTCTTTTCATCGATCGTCGCGGGCGCCTGGAAAAGTGTTGACTCTGCCAACGGAACTCGGACATACTCGGCCTGTCCTCCATCCAGCACCGCACTTCCATAGAGTTGTCCCCGCGTGCAACGGGAGGAGAACCCGCTGGCGCAGTAGAAGCACTCGCCACAGCTGACGGTGAATGGGGAAACCACCCGGTCGCCTTGCTTGAAAGATCGCACGTCGGCTCCGACCTCGACCACCTCACCCGTAAACTCGTGGCCCATGATAAACCCCGTTCCTGAGGGTTGATGTCCTCGGAAAACGTGGAGTTCACTAGAGATTAATTAGCATCTATTATTGACTCAGCTACTAATTCATCTAGGGGATTACCTTCCACATAGTGCGGTGTATCGCACTTTCAGAATAGCATCAGTGGGATCTTGAATCTGGGGACGGGGTCGCTGTTCCAGAGCGACCTGCAACGGACCCTTGAAGACAACCGCTTGCATCATTCTTGAGTTTATATATTCTGGTGCCTAGCAAATGTGTCGGTTTCCAGAATATCGTGCTTGGAAATCGGGCTCTGACGTGTCGTAGTTCTCAGAGTTAAATGTTGCATGGTCGTTCTGAGGGGTTGACCTACCTCAAGTCACGTTTGTACCTCGGCTATGCTCGGTTTCTTAACATTCGAATCTCGAAAGGCCGCGAGTTTCTATTCAACTTTCGACGGGTGAGATGGCAACTTAGAGTGAAATTTTCGAGACAATTGCAATTGAAGGTACCTGATCATGGTTAATGTGACAACGCTCAGGCATTCTGAAAGGCGTCGTGGGTGACTTCAACACGAAGGAGTACCTCAGGGTTTGGTGCCAGGTTTATGGGTGGAATCGACAGAGAAGTTGGCACTTGGGAAGATGGAACAAAATATATATTCTTTGGTCGCGAAAGAATTTTAGATTAAAGATTAGGCATTTCTCACATCCTACTGATCTATTTCCACCTGGACCCTTCCCATGGAGTGACATTCACTACTTCACCAAGTCCCCCAAACAAGATTTGAGAATACAGCCCCGTATGTAGCATAGGCCCATCCGCCGCTGAGATGATCGAGGTGGACACAGACGGGTGGTCGGCCGGGGCGGCAGACTCTGAGAGCGGATGAAATAGGGACTAATACGCACGTAGAAGAGAGGAGCAAGGAGAGATGTGGAAGAGAGTTAGGTTTATTCTCGTTCAGAATATATCGCTGCTAGCAATGATCATTTAAGATGAATGGGCACTCTCCTGGATCTTGATCTCAATCTATAGGACCGAATCGAGGGATGGAGTAGGGGTCTGTGTGCCTTGTACAGAATCATGATAATTATCACGGAGCCCAATGTATTTACCTGCTTCATATTATTACTGAATAAGGCAGTAATAGGATGTGCGAAGTATCCATTATACGCTGTCCTATCAAACCAGGGTTATTGAGTGTACTGTATACTCCTTCCTGTAGCGCATGCCAAGACTTTCCACCACCGCATCGTGTTCCGGTGAAAAATCGAATAACCAAAAATCCGGTTTTACACTGGTCGTCTTGCCAAAAAAATGTTAATCTCATCGAGGGAGATCGTTATGTATTCTCTTATGTACTGTGGCAACATTATACTTCTCTCGATGGTCGGTTTTGTCCCCGTTCTTCTGGTCTTCTGGGATCGGAACCTTTTGCTTGGCCCTAGAAACCCAGTAATAACAGACGGAGTATGTATACTCCGTCTAGTTCGTACAGTACAGTCTGTACGAGCTTCGGAGGATTTCCGGCATACGAGAGAGAGAGAGAGAACAATCATCAGTAGTGACGCCACGCAAGGGGCCGAGTGCAAGCCATGGCTTGCTCACGGAAGAACTTCTCTTTGGCCACTTTCGTAGCCCCGCGTACAGCGCAAACGAGCTCTGCCAAGGAGTCGTACAGCAGGACAAGACCAAGTCCAGATTACTTTGTATTTATAATAATATTCTGCTCAGTATGTCTGGGACTAAAAGGCTACGACCAGGAAAGCGGCTGATCGAGTCACTATGACCGCGCGGCCAACCCAGTAGTTAACTCCGAGTAACAGTTAGTGCGATGGTGTTTCTAATTTCTATCTACACTATCGACATCTTTTTTTAGCTTCTGTTTAATACCGAGAAGCCCGGCCAGTCGGCGATCCAGTTCAACCGCAATGATAGCCAACCGAACCAACCAACCAGCTGAACAGTCCAGCTTAGCCAAGCCAAGCCTTTCTCTTGCGCCCGTCTCCCATCATCGCCAGTTGGTCCGTCGAACTTGCTGAGTTGCTGAATGCTGGTGTTCTTTTTTTTTCTTGGCTTCTTCCGCTGGTCCCCCCTTTGTGTTCCTTTGGTTCAACTCTGATCTTCGATCCACTCTCAATCTCCGTCATCCGGGCTCCTCCTTCCTCCCATCGACGTCCTACCCTCAGTCCCTCACCATCACCATCCTCCTCCTCAACCTTCGACTATGGCCCACCGTTGCTCATCCCCTCCCTCCTCCTCCTAAATCTGGTGCCAGTCTTGGAGATGCTCGTCATCTCCACCCGCTCGTCTCCTCGTCGGGCTCCGTCCATCCACCATGTCCGCCGATGGACCCGAGGCGCCGCGGGGGTTCTGCGCTCAATTGGCCGGTGAGTTGGACATCTTCAAACATCCCAATCTACCCAACATTTTCCAATCCTCCGGCTTTAGCGGTCTGAATTGAACCTAACCATGCATGCTCTCATCCAGCGTTCATCGCACCATTCGTCGCACCCTTCGTCGCTCCTCGACGTCGAGGCTGGCGTCCGCTAGCTTTGCGCCCGCCCTACCTCATCTCCCTCGTCTCCCTTCTGCTGTTCATGTTCCTGGCCCTCGAGGCTCTACGACAATATAGCCATCGCAGAGGCGGTTTGGTCTTCTTCAGTGATACCGACGAGGTCTCCGCCCTGCAGTCATTCGCCTATAACTATGTGCCTATTATCGTTGCCCTCGTGCTAGTTATGGTCTGGACGGTCACCGACTTCGATGTTCTGCGCCTCGAGCCGTATTTCCAACTCTCCCTACCCCAAGGTGCGCCCGCCACGGTTCTGTTCATCAACTACAATTTCGGTCAGACGATCTTAACTCCCATCAATGCGGCCCGCCGTCGGCACTGGGTAGTCCTATGGGTCTCGCTGTTGACACTCTCGATTCGCATGATTCTGCCGGCCCTGCAAAGTACAGTATTCGAACTACGTGAAGTCACTGTGAGGAACAAAGTCTCGATGAAAAGCTGGCCGGACCTGGCGAACCTCGAAATGCAAGCAACGTGGATGTCGACCCAGGCCAACAACACCGTGGATTCGATTCTGTCAGCAGACGAGCAAGCGCGCCGATCGCGGTCAACGGAATACGCCATCGCTCCCGTGGAGATTCCCGACAGCGCGCATGAGGAGGAAGATACGCTCTGGAATCTGGAACAAGAAGTCTACTGGGCCCAGGTCACATGTGAAAACATGTCCCTCGACAACAAATTGTCTGTCACGATCAGCACACCGGACCAGGGATATCCCACCGTGTCGTGGAACGCCTCTGGCATTGATCTCAATGATGCCTATGGCCATTCCACTTCGTGCAAGCTGGATTTTGCCTACGACAGCGTCTTCTTTCCCGCCACGGATTATCTTCAAGTTCGCTACTGGGAACCCGTCATCAGCACTGCCGCCGAATCCGTATATCGAAATCAATCCCGGGCGTTCAATGTCACCGGATGTGACCCCTACGATCTATATGGTATGCTCATCGCCGTTAACGCAACCGAGCCCGAGTCCGATTCCGCGTCCTCGAATGATACTTCGTACGCAGCATCCGGGGTTGCCTTTGCCTGCGACATTACATACCACAAGGCCCAAGCCCGTGTCTCCATGCATTCCAACAGTTCCATTGAAAGTCTTCACATCAAATCCGCCACGACCCAAACTCTGACCAGCTCAGAGTTCAACATCGACCACTTCCAAGCCCTCCTCTCCCAACGGGCCCCTTATACCAGCGATATGCTCTTCATTCGCGACAATGCCACCACCGGGGGTCGCACCGTGACAGAACTGCCCGTGATCAGCCAGGAACTCGGCGAGCTCCAACCGCTCCTCGTCCTGGACACGTCAACTTTGATGACCGAGACCGAGTTTGAATCAAAGATCACGCGAGATGTGGAACAAACCTTTGTCCTCACCCTGGGCAGACTGTTTGATCCCGACGTTCATCCCACCATTGTTTCAGCGACTCGAGTCTCCAACCAAGTTGCCATTGCCGTGGTGGAATTCGCTGCCCTTTGGTCCGAACTTATCTTGGCATTGGCCACTTTGACCGCTATCTATCTACTCTTCCTATACCGCTCACGCGAAACATTCCTCCAGAGTGACCCTGGCTCCATCGGCGCCATGTGCAGTATCGCGGCGGATATTTTTCATCCCTCCAATGTCCTGGCCGAACCTCATGTGGAGTTTCACCAATTCTCCACTCGCCAGATGCGTCGTATATTCAAGAAGGCTCGCTGTTATTGGCGTTCTGATGCGTCTGGCAACAGACTGGAGATTCTCGCCGAGGATGGTAAGTAGCTGTTGGCTCTGTATTTGAATCACTCATCATCCTATCAACTGGTCGACTGACTTTTCTTTTCTTTCGCATAGGCTCGCCAGTGCAACTCGGAGAGGATTTACGCGTTCATGCCGACCCGATGCCTCACTTCTTGCTCATACCATTCTTCATTGTCGAATTTCTCGCCCTGGCAGGGGTCATCATCTTGATGGCGCTTGTGGTCTCTTCGCTTGCCCGAGATGGCAAATTCAAACATCTGACGCAAAACGATTCCACGTCTTTTCAGGTCGTTCTCTCCGTCTTGCCCTCTGTTGTGGCATCCTCTGTCGGCTCCTTATGCACGTCCATCCACCGGAATCTCAGTGTACTCGAGCCTTGGGTCCATCTTCAACGAGGAAAGGCTTCCGCGAAACTCTCCCTGTCGCTCAACTATTCCTCCCAGAGCCCATTGGTAGTCCTGTTGAAAGCGATTCGCGACCGACATCTCTTGCTCGGCCTGGTTTCCTTCGCATGTTTTGTGAATATGGTTCTTACGGTCGTGGCGGGTGGATTGTTCACTCAGGAGCTGACATCGTCCACTCTATCGACGCAAGATTTGACCGCCAACTACAGCCACTCCGTATTTTGGCGAACTGACTTTGCGGCGGAGTTCACCGAGTATGACTTGATTCAGACAAGCATCACCAGTGGGGTTCCTATGCTGTCTTGGACGAGCCCAAACCAGTCATTCATCCCGCTTCATATCCACAACCGTAACTCGGATGTGATGTATGGCGCAACCACCCTCGGCGTCGGGTCCCACTTGCAATGCTCCCAGCTCTCCCCAGCCAGTGGTCTGCAGTATAACACAACCGCTGGTCGTCAATACTGGCGGTATACCATGTTTGACAATTCATCCCAAGAGTGTTTTGCTGCCATGCCTACACCGAAGAATAAGAATGAAGGAATTGCTCTGTCCATTCAATTTCTCTCTGCTAGTGATACGAATCACTCAGACATCTGTCAGACCTCGAGTGTTGTGGTGGTTGGCCGCTGGAATTACATGGCTGACACGGCAATTACGGATAGCAACACGATCGCCTTACATTGCGAACCACACGTTCAGCTGCAAAACTACTCAGTCTCGTTTGACCAAAAGGGTCAGATCCAGGACCATGATCCCATTGCAAATACATCCATCACCACAGGTGAAATGTATGAGAATGCGACCGTGAGTTTGGGACAGTTCAACAAAGTATTTGTCGCTATTCCCGAGAGTTATGTGGGGAACACCACCGCTCAAAATGGGACTTATAACATTTCTTCCTACGACTGGGCTGGGTTTCTTGTGGCACGCTTGTACGAGCGGGACGATCCGGATTTCGATTCTCTTGATATTGATCGGTTTACAGACCTCACTCAGGTCGTCTACCAGTGGGTCTATGCCACTTATTTCTCCATATGGCATGATATCTACCTCCAGCCACTGGAACACCCGCATACTGCGACCAATGCCACTGTAATCCGGAGTACCTGGGGCATGGTGCCATCAGTGCCATCACTTGCCATTGCTTTGATCATCATCGCCTTTGACACGCTAGTCGTCTTGGTGGTCTTTGGCACTCGTCACGGCCGGTTCCGAGGCCCACGAATGCCACGGTCCATTGGCGCGATCATCCCCTGGATTGCACACAGCCGCATGCTCGGCGACTTCAGCGACACTCACAAGTGGACCAACACTCAGCGCCGTGACCACCTGTCAACCTTGGACAAACGGTACACCTTCCGACAATTCATGGGCCCTGATGGTCGTTGGCGCTTCGCAGTAGATGAAGAGCCCCCGGACGTCAAAGTACCACCACAATCACCACCATTCGAAAACCCGCAGCCCGATCCGTCCCAAGAGGAATCCGATTCAGAAGCGGGTAAAACGACGTCCATCCAACTGCAAGAGTTACCAAACCAGCAGTCCCGGGCGCGAAACTAATCACCCACCTTTGTTATGTATGTGACGACCTTTTGATTTTTTATTTTGGATACCACGACTTGTGTATATTTTTGGGATATCTGGCGTTTCTAGACTATTGGATATGTTCCGATCATGGAACTGGTGCTTGATGCATAGATGTTTCAGCCCTGTCAGCGGGTTCTGACCGTGTTTTGAAACATCCTGACGCTTGTAAGGAGATGCGCCTGATTGGCTGGCGCGATGGGATTTGGAATTCCTGGTTTGGACTGGGATGGGATATATGGGTTTGACATATTCTGGTGATAGCATTTAGCGTTTTTTCAACATTTACATACATGATTGAGTCGATATTTACTTTTGAATAAAAGAATTCATCTCCACCTGACTATAGCCTGCTTCCATCCGATAATGTGTTGTGACTTTACTTGAGACTTCCAAGGCCGACACTAGCTATATGCATAGTGAGATGTTTGGAAGGATCTTTATCATTAGTGAAGCTTTGTCAATCTAGATCATAAACTCTAGGTTTCACACATTCTCTTTATTGATCTACTATAGTGCAGCACGTAGTCGGCCATCCACAGCTCGGAGAATCACATAAATGGCCTCGAGGTACGGCGCCGATATACCCAGCTCTCTAGCCTTGCGCACAGGGAATCCCAGAATAACATCAATCTCCATCGGCCGTCCTGACTTACAATCCGTTTGCATACTGCTTCCAATACCAGGAAGAGAATTGATCTTATCCATCTGCTGGTCAACCAACTCATCCGACAATGGCACGCCACATGCCCGAGCAATAGCAATAACTTCACGCATGAGCGCGCGAGTAAATGGCTCCGCATCGGGAGAGGAGTGTAACCAAGTTTGTGTATCCACCATAGTAAGCGTAGTCAACGAGTTCCACGCCACATTCCACACAACCTTCTCCCATCGTTGTTGCTGCATGTTTTCAATGACTTGGAAGCGGGTTTGGCCGTGTCGAAGGAGGTCGGCGAAGGTGTCGAGGCGTTGTTTTTCAAGAGCGCTGTCGACTTGCTCATTAGGGAAGAGACCGAGCTGCGTGTCCTCGGATTTAATGTGCTTGACGACGCCTGGGCTGGTTTGCATGGCTCCCACCCATGTCTGCTGCTGTTAGTCTCGTCCAAACATCTCCGATGGCGTGTGGGATACTTACCACGCAAGTAATAATCGAGTTTTGGGGGAATTGTTTCCGGAATGGCTCTTCATTGCCGACACCGTTCTGGATCACCACAATGGTGGTACGACTGGGGTCTACGACGGGCGTCAATTGGGCTGCCACCTCGTCTTGATCAATGGCCTTGTGTGCGCAGACGACATAGTCCATCGGCGATGCTTCTGTGGGCGATTTGACAACTTGAGGTCAAAGGTTAGTACTGCATGGTCACCCTTGATCACTAAAGCTTTCGGTTTACCTTTATAGGGACGGAAGTTGTGCTGGCCATGATTCTCGCTGTTGATAGTGATTCCCTAGGGCGAAGTCAACATCACTGTTTCAATCAGACAATGATCAAAGCGTACGTTGGCGAGTACTGCATCGTAATTCGATCGCGCGACTACCGTCAGACGTACGCTGTCGGAACGGTTCAGGATGAAGGCATAGAAGGAGCCAATACTGCAGCTTGTTAGCGACAATCACAGGCCAAAAGGGCATCATTGTACTTACGCTCCTAGGCCGTAGAGCAGGACGTCAATCTGGTCAGCCATTGTAAATTGATGGATTGTGCAGCGACACTCTGGCGATGGGACTTAAGGATTAAAAACAGTCTAAACAAATGTCAGCCTCACCGGAGTTCATAGCGGACTTCTCTCCCCGCACCTGCATAGTGGGGTCGGCGGTATTCCGGCGTGGGGGTTCTGGGTGTCGTACACCTTCCAGGTAAGTACTGGCGTTTATCATTTTGCTGACACTGTGGCGAAGAATAGAAACAACCACCTATGCGACCAGTCTTACGGCTTATGCATTACTCATACTGGTGCCAACTGCCCAAAATGGATATTGTAGATTAAGAAATAAGTCTTGAACGGATAGGATTCTGGGTTCTATAGCTTCACACTTCCAATCATGTCTTTCTCCAACCGGCTTGCATTGACCATTTCCGGCCGTAGTTCCTTCAAACTTGTAGCTCCCAAAAATACCATGTTCATCTCCATCTCTTGTCGTAGAATTTCTAACATGCGGCGAACACCTGCTTCTCCATAGCCTGCTGACATGCTAAATAAGAATGGCCGACCGAGACCGACAGCAGTTGCACCTAGAGCAAGAGCCTTAAGTACATCAGTACCCCGGCGGATACCACCGTCGATGAATATTTGCATCTTGCCATCTACCAGATGGGGGGCAAATTTGCGAATCTCGAGTAAAGTCAAGAGTGGCGACTGGGCGCTACATAGAGATTGAAGTTCAGCAGGCGAGCATTTTTGTAGTTCGGTAGTGAAACTTACGTGTCCTGAGATCGGCCTCCGTGGTTCGATAATACAATACCCTGGACGCCATGATTATATGCAAGGACAGCGTCTTCAACACACTGAATGCCCTTGATGACCACAGGAAGATCAGTGAGTTCCCGAATCCAAGACAGGATGCCCCAGTCAATCCCAGGTGAAATGGAACTAGCCATAATTTTGGCCACTCCTTGTCCTTGTACGTCGCTATCCATGGCCTACTCGAATATAAGCATGTCAATTTAGAAGGGGCACAGGAGTGAGGCTTACTGTGACGGCCAGATTAAGCCGCTCATCGCTTTCTCTCTTTCCCACGACGGGAGAGTCCACAGTAATCCAAATAGCTTGGGCACCCGCTTGAACAGCACGTTTGACCATCTCCACGGATTTTTGGATGTCTTTGTTGACATAGAGTTGAAAGAAGAGAGGCTGATCCTCCGAGGTACGCGCTACCCGAACCTGCTCAACGGACATGCTTGAGCTATTGGCAAGGAGCTGCGCTAGTCCTTCTTTGCCAGCTACTCGAGCTAGAGCACACTCTCCATCTGGATGTGCAAGCTTAGCGATGCCCACAGCAGACATATAAACCGGCATCGACACAGTTTGACCCAGGATGGAAGTTGTTGTGTCCACGCTGGAGACTTTCTTGAGAATGCGAGGCCGTAGAGCTACTTTTTGATAGGCACGACGGTTGTTCCGCTTACTGATCTCATCATCTGCTCCCGAAGAGTAGTATGCCCAGGCGTTGGCTGGAAGGTACTGCTTAGCCACTTCTTCAAAGTCGTTCAAGTTGATCAACGTGCTGAGGAGTGGAGGCCCCTGGGGCTTTGGACTTGATGATGGTCTGTCTTCATTTAAAGTAGGAGGAGCCTCAACCATTGCCAGTTCAGCTGGGTCAATGTATCCACAGATGGCAGATTTTGGCAATGCCTCTGTCAATAGGTCTCGTGGATGAACCGAATCAAAGTCCTCTGTAGCATCTTTGCCAGCACAGCGGAGAATTACCATGGGCCCTCCGGGGTGTGAATCAAGAAAATCTAGCTGATATATCAGCAAATATCTGAAGCTGGCGACTCATATTTTCGCCTACATACCAGTGACATCGTAGACGGTATCGTGAATGGCAACCCAACACGACTGCCGGGTGTTGTGTTGCCGGATCTCTGCTTTCGTTAGAGTCATGATCAACCTTGCTAGATGATAGCCGATAAGCCCTAAGAGGCAACTTTCATTTACCGCGGAGTTGACGTACAAAAGGGAAGATCCCTCTTTTTTAGGCAAACGCGGCTGGGTGGGGGCCACGTCGACGATCCTTGCGGGGTGCCGGACTCCTCCCGAATGCTGCGTGGGGGTGTAACCCCCACGGGGAGGGAAGGATGATGATGATCTTGATCTTGGTGGTGATTCTGGCATGTTTAGTGCGGAGAACAGACTGCTTACCCAAGTCCAGCTGGTTTCTCCGCGTCCTGATCGACATTTGGTCCATACACACAACGATGCTGTTGGTGGAATTTGGGGTGTAACTGAGGAGAATGAATCCTCGCCAATCGTGATGTGAGCTATGGTAGGTATATCTCATATCACATCTGGCCGGTAACGCTTGTTGTTCAAATGGCATGGCCTTTTTGCCAACAACTCAGGATCCAAACAGTGACATTGACCATGACCCAGGGTACCAGCCAGGACTCGAATGCAGGCTCTAAACCTGCGGCAAGGCATGTTGAAGGCTCGGACATTCCGACCGATACAGCTAAAATACATAATGGGGACGCTGCGCTGGCTTTGTTTGAGAACCTGGAGGATATGCACGAGGGCTTCGAGCCGGGAGAAGAGAAGAAGCTCGTTCGAAAAATTGACCTGATGATCCTGCCATTCCTGGCAGTCTGCTACGCTTTTTACTATGTAGGTCTGAATCACAGCCACAAGGACAAGGAGAAGCAGACCAGAAAGAACAGACTAATTCATGATCATGATACTTCCAGATTGACAAAACAACGCTGTCGTATGCTGCAATCTTCGGGATTCGAGATGACCTGCATCTCTCTGGCACGGAATATTCATGGCTCTCGAGTGTCTTCTACTTTGGCTTCCTGGCGTGGTCGTTTCCCACCAACCTATTGATGCAGCGGTTCCCCGTTGGCAAATATCTCGGGGTGAACATCTTTCTCTGGGGCTTTTTCTTGATGCTACAAGGTATTCACTGTCCTCTCATTCAGGCCCGGTAAAGATAACTAAGATGACTACAGCGGCCGCAAAGAATTTTACTCAACTGGCAGTGCTGCGAGTCATTTCAGGCGCCGCGGAAGCATGCAGGTTGGTGACAATGAGATTAATGCTATATGTGATTTGCTGTGTCTCATAAGCTGATGTACTGCCCAGTGACCCTGCGTTTATGCTTATTACCAGTATGTGGTATACCCGCCGTCAACAGCCCATTCGAATCGGCCTGTGGTACACAGCAAACGGTTTCGGCATCGCCATCGGTGGGCTATTTGGATATGGCATCGGCCAGATCAAGGGGGCTCTTCCATCTTGGAAGTATGAATTTCTCATCATCGGAGCTCTCTGCTGCATCTGGGGCATCGTCATGGTCATCTTCCTCCCAGACTCTCCAGTCACGGCTCCTCAACTCTCCGATCGCGAAAAGCGACTGGCTGTCGAGCGTCTGCGCGACAATCAAACGGGCGTGGAAAACCGGACCATGAAGCCTAAACAGATCCTCGAAGCTTTCTTGGATTGGAAAGTTTGGACGTTTTTCTTGCTTGGATTCTCTGGGAATATTCCCAATGGGGGTATTTCGAATTTTGGCACATTGATTATCAAGGGCTTTGGTTTCTCTACTTGTATGCCCGACAAGTCTCCAAATCAGATATTAAGAAGCTAATGAGAATACACAGTGGTGACAACACTCATGCAGATTCCATATGGAGCCTTCATTACCATCATGATCTTAACGGCCGTCTTTGTCAACGATCACCTCCCACAAGGCAATCGCTGCATCGTCGCGATCGTGTTTCTACTCCCCAACTTAGCCGGCTCCTTTGGTCTACACTACGTGTCCGAGTCTCATCGTATAGGCCGGCTAATTTGCTACTATCTCACCGGGTCCTACAATGCGTCGTTTGTGATCATCCTGTCCATCCTGACAGGTAACATCGCTGGCCACACGAAGAAAGTGGTCACCAACGCGATGATCTTCCTTGGAGTTTGCGTCGGCAACATTGCAGGTCCTTTCTTCTATAAATCGGAGCAGGCACCAGGTTACTCCTTGGGGATTTGGTCCATGATTGTGGCCAATTTGGTCGAAATTGCATTGATTGTTGTGCTCGGGTTGGCTCTCGCGTGGGAGAATCGACGCCGCGACCGGGTGCAGGGAGTGATTTCTGGAAGTGGGACAGACTATGAGCGACAATTGGAACTTGATCGGACTGCGTTTAGTGATTTGACTGATAAGGAGAACTTGAACTTCCGCTATCTCTACTAAGGGGGTGGGAAGGAATGCTCCTACTGGGGATGCTGAGACGTCTGATTTGACATATTGGGCATGGTTACTCTGGCGAATGACAATTCAAAGGATGAAGTAGTCAATAATCCTTCGCAATTCTCCATTATACTGCAATTATATACAACGTTCCTGTATACATCAAACCACTGATGCCAAACATTCCCCAATCGGGTAAACGGCGTCGTTTATCCGCCGGGTTGGACTTGTTGTGGTCACAATAATACTGTACTGCATCGTTGGATATCCGGAATGTCCCCAGTTGTCAGTCGTCACTTACCAGCTGTCCGCATGTTTCCCCCTCTTTTTCCACTCGGTTCCCATATTCTTCCACCAATAGTCGCGTACCCCTGTAGCGTGGGGGCATAATGGTTGCGCGATCGCATCTCCACTCCCAGACTTCTCCCGGACTTCTCCAGAGTCTCTTTCTTTTCCCCATTCACCCCCCACGTGGGGTGTTACTGAGACGTGTGGAGTATCGGGGTAAATGCGATCATCCGAAAAGCGATGTTGGGAGGGAGGGGTAACATGGACGCGGGGAAGTTTTCTCGACTTGACGCGCAAGTTCATATATGACGCCGGGTATCAGCTCCGCCACTTGGAATTGGCTCCGCCCGATTTGTGCAGTTGTCTTTTCTACATTCGCATTCTCGTTCCACAATGGCTAAGATCAAGTCCATCGAGTACTTCCGAGTTAAGCCCCGCTGGCTGTTTGTCAAGGTCACCGATGAAGAAGGCAATTTTGGTTGGGGCGAGGGGACTCTCGAGGGGCACTCGCTGGCCGTCGAGGGAGCACTGGACGAGATCATCACGCGAATCGTTGGGTTTGAAGCCGAGTGAGTATCACTATCAGGCAACCCTTCAGCGCATTGTTTTTGTAGTACTGACCTGGTGGACAGCGACATTGAGCACGTTTGGCAATTCATCTGGCGACTCGGATTCTACCGAGGAGGTCCGGTCTTCATGTCCGCCATCTCTGGAATTGATATTGCCCTTTGGGATTTGAAGGGCCGCAAATTGGGAGTTCCAGTGTACCAGCTGCTAGGCGGCAAGGTGCGCGACAAGGTGCAGGTTTACTGCTGGATCGGTGGTGACCGGCCAAGTGATGTTGAGGCCATGGCGTACGTACACCCGAATCAGACACGGCGAAGTCGAAACAAGAGAAATCGAATCTAACAAACCGTGGATATAGTAAGGTCCGGATTGCGCAAGGTCTCAAGTGTGTCAAGATGAATGCTACCGAGGATCTCAACTGGCTAGACTCTCCCGCCGCCCTTCAATCCTGCGTCGACCGTCTCAAACAAGTCAAGGCATTGGGTCTGGATGCTGGTCTTGACTTCCACGGTCGTCTACATCGACCTATGGCCAAGCAGCTGGCCAAGGCATTGGAACCATATCAGCCTCTCTTCATTGAAGAACCCCTTCTGTGTGAGCACCCCGAGGCCATCAAGCAGCTCTCAAATAGCACCACCATCCCAATTGCATTTGGCGAGCGCCTCTACACAAGGTGGGATGTCAAGCGCTTTTTGGAAGATAGCTCGGTGGATGTACTCCAGCCTGATATTGCACACGCTGGTGGTATTTCCGAGACGAAGCGCATTGCCACAATGGCCGAGGCCTACGATGTGGCGATTGCGCCGCACTGCCCTCTAGGCCCCATTGCCCTTGCGGCATCGATGCAAATCGCTTTGACTACCCCCAATTTTGTAATTCAGGAGATGTCTCTGGGTATGCACTATAATCTGGAGGCCGGTGATATCGACTTGAACAGCTACCTGGTTGATAAATCGGTGTTTGATATCAACGAGGGATATGTGGCTGCCCTTACCAAACCGGGTCTGGGCATTGAGATTGACGAGGACTTGGTGCGCAAGATTAGCCTGGAGACGGAACCGTGGCAGCCGAAAGAGTTCTTTGGACCGGATGGGTCTATTCGGGAGTGGTAGGTTAATACTTTATAGACTGCATTGAATGGGTAATTTTCTAGTTGATGGCGCATCTTTTTCATTTACCGTAGAAGGATGTCAGCCAACCTATCTGACCAAATTACATCGAGTTATCACTACAAAAAGCTCCAAGCTCTGTATGACACATCTCACTCGGTGTCAGTCAGCCCGACAGTCTTTCGATTGTCGGCAGTAACATCATCTATCTGAAGGATCTCCCCGCTAGATGCGGGGAAGGCGTGGGGGCACAAGCTATCGGCTAAAGACAGTCTCGGGCCCAATATAAGGTGGCTCTCTTCCCCGCAAGGCTGATAAGATCGAATCTGTACAGCTACAGGGTACCTCACCCGCAAGCCTCATTCATCATGGATCTGTTCTCTCTCAAAGGCCGAACTGCTCTAGTGACTGGCGGTACCCGTGGCATCGGGCAAGCCATGGCAATTGCACTGGCAGAAGCAGGAGCCGACATTGTGTTAGTCCAGGTACGGTGTTCAGAGTATTAGCTAGACCTCGAGAAATGCAAATTAGCTAATACCATAGCAGCGAGATACAAGCAATCTCAGCACAAAAGAGCAGATTGAGAAACTCGGTCGCAGGGCCATCATATACACCGCAAATCTGGCTTCACAGCAATCCGTCTCCCAGCTGGTGTCGACGGTGATCCATGATGGACATGATATCGATATCCTGCTGAACTGTGCCGGGATCCAGCGACGCCACCCAAGCCATATCTTTCCTGACGGAGATTGGCACGAGGTCGGTCTCCTCTCTCCATACGTGGTCTAGCTCGTCCAGAGTGCCCAAAAAACTAATATCAATTGCTGTGATAGGTGCTTCAAGTTAACCTCACAACCGTTTTCACCCTCTGCCGTGATGTCGGGGCATACATGCTCACACGTACCCCAAATGCCTCAGGTCAGCGCGGGAGTATCATCAACATCGCATCACTAGTATCTTTCCAAGGTGGGCTCACCGTGCCCGCTTATGCCGCAGCCAAAGGGGGAGTCGCACAGTTGACCAAGGCCCTTTCGAACGAGTGGGCATCCAAGGGAATCAATGTGAATGCCATTGCGCCCGGTTACGTCGCGACGGATATGAACACGGCATTGATCCAGGATAAGGAGCGGGCGGCGAGTATTCTAGCCCGGATTCCTGCTGGGCGTTGGGGAAATCCAGATGACTTTAAGGGATCGGTGGTGTATTTGGCCAGCCGGGCGAGTGCGTATGTGAGTGGTGAAGTGCACACGGTGGATGGAGGATGGATGGGGCGGTAAATCTGGAGACTGTAAGAAGCAGAGTGGGTGTTTCGATTAGAAATAGAAATGAAGTCTTGAAGTATGGATGTTTCTTCCAAGAGTTGGTTATTCAGTACAAAGTCACGGGATAGACTGGCGGAACAACAACAATCGCATTTCTCTCTTCTTTCCTGTTCCTCCTCTTCTTCCCCTTCTTTTTCCACCCACCTCAATACCGGAGTTGGTACGGAGTACTCCTTCAAGGAATTCAAGGTCTTCTCACAGGCTGGAGAAACCGGATTAAAATCCAGATTTACGGAAATAATAATTCCCTCATGATCTCACTCTGCAGACGCGGCCCGAGAAACCACGATTGGCAGCTGAACAGGTCGACCCACTGTGGGCTGCAGAACCCACTAGCTATCGATCGGGCTGAGCTGAAGTCCTGCGAGCCGGGATACCTATTGAAAAGAAGAAGAGCAAACATGCAGCAGTCGCTGATCATTATCGCGTCTCCAAAGAGCCCATGAAAGCTCGACTCTTCGATTGACCGCTCTCGGAAGAGAAATGAGGAGTCCTCTGTACAACAGTCAGTTTTCTTCTCTCTGGATTTCTCTCCACGTTCCATTCTGCCATATTCATTTTCTCCGGGAATATTGACAGCAAATGATGCACGGTCTCGTTAGCTTATGCAACATGAGGGCCGATCGTAACCATGTCCAGCTCCTGAGCTGGTTGAGTTGGTGCCCCCGAAGCCAATCAAGTCTCGCTGAAGAGTGGCCAGCCCCAGCGTTCGGCCGGACGATCTGGATCTTGCAGCTCCTCTTCCCATCGCTGGCTCAGTGGCTGTCTCCCGCTGCCTAGCCAATGTTTATTTTGTTGAGGGGTTTGCTGGCGCTGGTGTGGTCCCTGAAATGACAGGCTTGACCATTGACTGAGCGATAAAAACATCCCGATAATTCACTGTCATTCTTCGGTTGTCTTTGTCGGAATTCAGACTGCCAATCGCCTGATCGGGTTCTGTTCCACGCCAGCCAAGCAACTCGAGTGCCATCGCATCCACCCTGCTAGCCTGGGGTGTCCGAGCTGATCCAAGCAGCGGCCATGCTAGAGTCTGGACAGCTCTTCAAGGGATGCCGATCTCGACGATCTCTGCACCTTGCCCCGCTAGGGACATCGTGAAAGTCAATCAATCCTGTTGCTTCCTCGACAGTGGACACTGTCCCGGTCGCTAGCTTGATCGGCCCGCCGAATGTGCTTGGATGCGCATGATTCTGGTGGAGGTCAGCCATTTTGAGAGAAGATGCGCAGCGATCACGAGCTGAGAAGCTGGTCTTGGAAGCTTATAAAAGCCAACAGGTAGCTCCCCCGGAGCTTGTGATCACTCGTGCCTTCCTCCCCCGTACTCTCCAGGTTCCTGAATCTCATCATCGCACATCACAATGGCTCCAAGAATCGCAACCTTTTTGTCCATTGCTCTGTCTCTGTGGACCTTGGTGGCAGCCGAGTCAATTCCCAAGACGGACTACGATGTCATCGTTGTTGGTGGTGGTCCCTCGGGTCTCAGTGCCCTGAGTGGCGTCTCTCGCGTGCGGAGAACTGCGTTGCTCTTCGACAGCCAGGAGTACCGCAATGGCCCCACGCGTAACATGCACGATGTCATTGGCAATGATGGTAATATTCATACACTTATCTTGTTCTCGAGGTCTATATAACAACCAGACTAACCGAAACACAGGCACTCCCCCGCCGAGTTTCGTGCCCTGGCTCGCGAGCAGATCCTCAAGTATCCCACGGCTCATATCAAGAACGCGACCGTCAAGTCGATCACTTCCATTGGTACTGACGCAGTCACTGCATTCTCTGTTGTCGATGCCTCTGGAAGGAACTACACTGCTCGTAAGATCGTTCTCGGCACCGGCATGCGGGATGTACTTCCTGATACTCCCGGTTTGAAGGAAGCCTGGGGCAAGGGTATCTTCTGGTGCCCTTGGTGTGATGGCTACGAGCACCGTGATCAGCCCTTTGGTATTCTCGGCAACCTGTCTGATGTGCTTGGCAGTGTTTTGGAGGTGAACACTCAATTCTCCGACATCATTGCGTTCGTCAACGGGACCCAGACGCCGGATGGAGAGGCCCAGGCCACTGCATCACACGCAGATTGGAAGGAACAGCTCAAGGCTTGGAACATCCAGATCGAGAACCGCACCATAGCTTCCATCGAGCGCCTTCAGGATGGTGAGACGCACCAGAACAAGACCACTGATATGCAGTTTGACAAATTCCGGGTGCACTTCACCACCGGCGAGCCCGTCGAGCGCAGCGCCTTCATCACCAACTTTGCGGCGGTGCAGCAATCTTCGCTGCCGTCACAGCTGCATCTAAACGTCACCAAGGAGAAGATTGTTGTCGACGCCAGTAGCATGCGCACCAACGTCACGGGTGTCTATGGAGTCGGCGATGCCAACAGTGATGGCAGCACTAACGTGCCCCACGCCATGTTCTCTGGCAAGAAGGCCGCTGTCTATCTTCATGGTATGTATCTATATCATACACTATTCCTCGTAGTCTAGCTAACAACGTCTCTAGTGCAACTGTCTCGTGAGGACTCCGCGTCTAAGGTCTCCAAGCGCACTGGCTTGAGTCAGCGCGAGTTGGAGAAGGAGGCTACCCGGGCTATTGGCCGTAACCTCGAGCCCCAGTGGGAGAAGATCCAGAAACGTAACTGAGTGTTCCGCTGAAAGTGCCTCCACCCTGGACCATTGAACTATGTCTCTTTCCAGCCCAGGGCCGTACGCCTACGGGGCCCCGAGGCTTTTATGCTATGGATGCATGAATTATGAACAGCGCTTTGGATGTTGCTTATTGCTTACAATTAGTTCAAAATAATGTGTTTAATGCTGTCTATTAATATTGATTCATGTGCCCTTCACACCCTGGTGTCTCTTCACCGACCTATACTCAAGTTACATCCATCCTCTCCATGGTCACCTGCTTTTCTCTGCAGGAAACTCGTACTACCGATATCCAACTCGATCCATGCTCCGATCTTTTGTTGCCCCTACAGCCAATCAAACTGGCCGTCCAAGGATAGAGGATTACGTGCTTCGTCTCGAGTCACTCGACGCAATAGAGGGATCCAAGGCCACGATCCTTGGGCAGTCTTGAACTGGGACAGTGGTTGCCACTGTGAACCAGGAAGGAGTGTTGGGGACTATTGATTGATTGGTCGGGCTGAGAGTATCCAGGCCTGCAGGCTATAATATCCAACACACCACATTTGACCATTAGTTATGGGTAAGAACCATGCGATAGCTGACATCATTGATTGCTAGGAATTGGCAATTGGCGCTTTCCAGATAATGATCATGAATCTTTTGCATTGGGATGATGAAGGAGGTAATCATCTCGATCTGTTGTGTCCACAGGATCGGCCTTCATGAGATTGATTGTCTGTGATATGGCGACCTCAAAAGTCACTATTTTGGCATTACCTCCGCTTTGCCGCCACGTCTCCAACATCCATCCGAACGACACTCGTGTATCGGTTTCTCCTATTCTGACCTGAGGCGATCTCTGGAGAGCCGAATGCACCGACGATCACCTTTCCATGGCTCTTTCCCATAACATGATCGAAAACCTGTTGAAGTCCGACGTTGCGTCACCCAGCTTGAACTGGTCCACTATACTGCCTACAAATTCGGCATTGTAAGATCCGATGCCCTGCTGACCACTTCTCCTTCGTTGGTCGAAGAGATTATGATTTTATCCGCGCTTGGAGGTTAGCCGACTACAACCCATGGTTCAACGTCGGGGAGGGTCCACCAGCAATGGTGATGGCGGGCGGACCGAGCATCCTCTGCTTATGGAACAAGTGGAAAAGCTCGGTGGAATCGCCAAAAGCGGCGCCTCAACGGGGGATCGTCAGAGGATCGTCGATCGGCACCGGTCCCTGAGCCCTATAATCCTCAAAATTCAGACTCGATCATGGAGTCTTTTGATCTGCTCCGATCCAGTTCCTTACCTGCAGCCTCCACCTGTCGGCGGTTATTCCAGATGCGTTCCTCTTTCCATTATTTAGACAATAATGATAAAAGGCCTCGTGGTGTACGCTCTTCTCCACACCATCTCTTCTGGTCCAGTCAAGGCCATCTTTTTTCGTCTCACTCCCCAAACCGTTGTAAGTGGACCTATTACCCTGAAACGTTGAACTTTAAGTCAACTCATGCTTATCGATAACCAATACGCGTAGATTATTGCTTGTTTCATATCGAGCATGTCCCCGTGAGCCATCCTTGTCCTCAGGGGGAACTTCTTCAGTGGAGCATCTGATCTGCACTTCGTCACAAATTGCTTGCTTTCCTGGGTATTCGTGATATCCAATTCCCTTCCCGTTGGAACTTGACGATGTTGAAGACTGCTGATCAGTCCACAGTGTGCCCATTCAAGTTCATGTCCAGGAACCAGGGGAAATTCCGTCCCCGTGGCTCATTATCATAGGCAGCGGCGATGTGGACGCTGTAGTTAGGATCACTTTCTCCCCGAGCGTTTACTCCAGCTCCTTCACGACTGCTGTAGATCGTCAATTCTGACGAAATCGCCAGCCGGAAAAGATATAAAAACCCCCTCGAATCGGCGACAAGGTCTCTCATTATCATTCGGAACCAAGAATCCTTTTGTGTACATTGATATCCCCAGAATCTCTCGACTTAACACTTTTCTCTCAAATCTATCTTCCACAATGAAGTCCTCCGTTGCTACCATGGTGCTCGCTCTCTCGAGCTCTGCCATAGCTGCACCATTCAGCCTCAATGGAACCGATGTCTATTTAACTTCCTCGGCTCGTCAAACTCCTTCAATGACCGCATCGAGCACTCCCCATGCGGCTACGTCCTCGTCAGTCCCGACTGATCCTTTACTTCCCAATCCTTTGGCTACTTCGAGCATTGGCCGTCCAAGCGGATCAGGCTCTGAGCCAGTTTCTTTCTTGTCTAAGCGTAGCGGCCTGCCTTCCATTCCAACATATCTGCCTTCATTGGTCTCGGACGCGGAGGCGGCTCTTGGAGCACTTGCTTCCGCGGGGGTCCAGAAACGTGACGGATCTTTGTCAATTCCAACGGATCTCCCTTCACTGGTCTCTGACGTTGAGTCCGCTGTTGCAGCTCTTGTCTCCGATAGTGCTCAGAAGCGCGATGAATCCCTGGCTCTTCCGACAGATGCTCTTGTTTCAGATGTTGAATCTGTAGCCGCTGCCATTGCTTCTAGTGTCGCTCAGAAGCACAAGCGTGCTGATTCTGCTACTCTGCCCACGGACCTGCCCTCTCTGATCTCTGATGCCGAGTCCACACTTGGTGCACTCGCATCCGCTGGTGCGCAGAAGCGTGATGGATCCCTGTCTATTCCTACGGATTTACCTTCCCTACTGTCTGGTACCGAGTCGATCGCCAGTGCTCTGGCTTCCAGTGGCGCCCAGAAGCGTGGTTTCACATCTAAGTCTCGGCCTACTCCTACTGTGGGTGGGAGTGGTATCCCCTCTGGTAACCCCCAGTTGCGTCCCTAGTGCTACTCCTAAGGGTTCCGGCCTTGCATTGCCTTCTAGTACTCCATATGCAGCAGCCGGTTCCTCCCCCACGGGCTTCTCTATTCTTGGCTTTCCTATTGCCTAAACGTGGGTGGAGGAAGACCCCTTGACAGGGGGAAGGCAGACCTGCTAGTTTTCTACACGCTGCCGGCTATTTTGCCGTTCATTCGTTACAATCGTTAGATTCAATTTTCCCCGCCCAGTGACCGGCTTTTCCTCTGTGGGTATATTCTGTTCTTTCGCCTTTTTGTTCGTGGAGAGAATCATGTTTCATAGGGAGCCGATGAATGCCTCTGGGAAACGCTCTCTGCGTGGCTTATTGTGATTAGGTTTGGGATTTCCCTTTAGTGGTATCTTACATTTTGTTTTAAGAATCACTACAAGCTACAATCTTCTTGTTTTTCAAAGAGCATGAGCGCAAGCTCCCTTATTGACATCCTTGTAAATCTCGTTTAAAGCCTTCTTGAACCGTCTTTTTGAACCGTCTTTTGGATGCTCTTTGGATGCTCTTTTGAATTACTGCGACAGGGGTGGAGATCTACTTTCCACGAAATTCGCGAGTAGGGCTCATTTCCTACGCAGTAATGCGAAGGCTGGCATGGAATGAATTGTCACTAGCCTCGGAATTTTGAAAGTCCAGTATTGATGCGACTATTTTGAATCAGATTTCCTGTATCAGCCTCTGCGGCGTGCCTAACCATGCAATTTAAAATTCATGTCCCGGAATCGCTTCATGGGACCATAGCTTGATGTTAATGCTCGAAGAGACTTTCCACGGAAGTAAAAGGGGATAGCAAACAAGATACTGACGACCTCAATTGAAGTCATCTCGCCAAATACCTGCGCCGTACCTTGACGTTCAATTCAGTCCGCTGCGTACAGGGAGAGAAGCATGCCAATCGTATTTCGGATGACAAAAATGCTCACCACAGCCTCGCCCGTCACTTTTTCCATCTTCAGTCAGGGAAGATGATAGAAGGCCGATTGATTGCACTCACCGGCTTATACATTTCGAGTGACTAAGTGACTGCGACGTTAGAAATAGCAGCCACGCCAAATGCTTGTATGGCATATCCAACGGCAGGACCAATCCAATGTGTTTTGTGGGCGACGCAAAGACCAAATATCAGAATCCCCGCGGGGCCGACAATGCCTGGGATTATGATTGCAGGTAGACGGCATTCCAGTAGTCGAAGACCGCCGTGTCGGGCTGTGCTTCGACTTGAGATAACATCGATCAACCGTCCACCAATATAAAAGGCAAACAGAGACCCGATGAATCCAGATAAAGAAAGTAAGCCAATGTCTCCCGAGGTCCAGTTGTAAGGCGGCTTGGTGAATGTGCGAGTGGAAGTCAACAGCACGACGTTGTTCCTAGTCATCAATTTAGCGAAAGGTAGAAAAGCCCCTCAGGGAAGTACAAACCAGCCAACTTAAATGCTAATGGTAAGGGAGCACCAGATCAAAGGCGGATATGTTGCGTTGCCCAGGATATCCAAAAATGCTCGGAGGAAGGAAGCGTCTCGATTGAAGCCCAGTGTCAGGGACATCCACTCCCAGTGAGATCGCTTCCGTGAAGGATCCGAATTATGTCTCTTGATGTCCGAGGTTTCTCTGATAGTAAACACAGCGACCACGAAGACAATGCCAACGGCAATTGCGAGGAAGTAACACATCCAACGCCAGTTCTCCCCCTGGATGAGATAGGCATTGATCAAAGGCCCAACGAATAGGCCACTTGTCAAGGCTAGATGGAAAATCATCATGCAATGACCGCGATCCTTTGCAGGAACCATATCTGCGACCACAGCAGGTACAGTGGCATCGGCAGCCGCAGCAGGAAAACCAGAGCAGATGCGAGCCGCAAGTAATTCACTATAACTCCTGGCCTCGCTTGACCAGACATTCATCATGCAAAGTCCCAGCATTGCCAGAAGATAAACAGGGCGCTTTCCAATGACCCGCATGAGCGGGACCCAAATGATATCTCCGACACCGAACATGAAGACATTGCAGTAGACTAGTTGGCCGGCCTGAGTTTGGGTGACATGAAATTCTTTGATGATCGCCTTGGTGACAAAGAAAGGGAAGCATGACGTCGGAAGATGGAGAGCCGAAAAAAATATATCGGCGCTTCTTGAGCTCTGTCAACTGGCACTCATCAAGCGCTAATGTCTGCCTCATAGTCATTGAAACAATTCCAGACATGTCAATTGACTCGGACTCTTGCTCAGATGTTCAGGAGCACTCCAATCGAATACATAAGTGAGTGTTGGGTTATACGCTTTCGCTCACAGTATCGGGGCAATGGCCGAGCCCTCATGACGGGGCCCAACTTCGGTCGGCTCCTCTCCGCGGTTTCCTCCTCAGCACTTCAGAGCTGACCTACTCTCCTCCACCTCCTCTCTCTTCTACCCTCCCTTCATTTCCCCCCGACCTCCCTTCGCTTGGCCAAAATGGGCCTCATCAGTCGCGTCCTCAAGGTGACCGCCGCCGGCACCGTCGCTTCGGTCGGTGTGTTCTTCGGAGCTACTCGCAATGACGTCTTCGAGCCCATGGACGCCAACGACCCAATCTTCTCCTCGCCATTCTTCCAAAAGTTCAACCCCGAGCGCAATCCAACTCTGCACGATCTTTGTGTTCGTCGCATGCCGTTGGATAAGATCAACCCCTCATTGCTGGAGAAGAAGGGCAAGCTGGTGGAGGCCTTCTGTGCGGGTGTCTGGGGTGGCATGGGTAAGCTTTTGCGCATCTCGTCATGCTCGAGAGCTTGTGAGATTCTGTTCTAACCCACTTCTTTCTCTTCTTTTAGGATACATCCCCCAGCGCGCGTACCTGGCCAACAAGTACCAAGGTCCCGAGACCGCCAGCCACCTTTGGGAACGCAAGGATCTCCTCGCAAGCACCTACGAGGTCGGCACCGTAATCACCGACCACTTCGAGGTCGTCGAGAAGACCGACGAGAAGATTGTCGTCCGCTGTGGTGCCTCTCCCCGCGAACAAGGTATTCGCCCCTCCGACGGTCTGTTTGAAATTGGCGCTGTGGTGAACCAGGAGAAAGGAGAGGCCGAGTTTACCTTGAAGAGCTGCTTTTACCAGGGCCTGGGGAAGGCGGAGGGCGCGCCCATGGGCCCGGTCATGGTTTGGCTGCACCAACAATATGCCAAGCTCTGGATGGAGACGGCTATCCTGAAGAACTGCGTTCGGTAGGGGGACTAGGAATGACAGCATGGCCTGTCCGTGATAATCTGTGTATATACGGTTCTCTTAATGGTCTACGAACGAAGGAGAGCAAGCCCCTGGAAAGGGAGCAAGTGGGAGACATGTCCAGTCTTGTCCATACAAAGATCATTGTGTGCATTTCGAGCTAGCTAGCTCATTACGAATCATCTCATGCCTTGACTTCCCGATCAGATTTGTCCATCGAGTCACCAGCATCCCGACCTTCACCAGCTTCCGAATTGGGGTCACTTGTGAGGGTGACAGCAAGGACCGCCGGAATGGCAATGACGAGCGAGCCCATGCAAAGACCCCAGTCCATCGCAAACTGCGTCATGGCAGGTTTCTTCAAGGCGTTGATGCGCCACGCCATGGCACCACCAGTAGCCTGGAATGTTTTATACGCCCCAACAGTGATTGCTGTCTCGGCCGGTGAATTCGAGCGGGCACCCATGAGCCAGTAGCAGAAGGATTGCCAGAAGGCATCGTAAGCACCGTAGAAGATGTAGAGGAAGATGGGACCGACAGAGAGACTGCCCTCGGTGTAATCAATGTCCTGCTTCAGGCCCGCGGCCATCCGACGATCCGACCATTTCTGGAACGCATATCCACCACCCCAGATGACCATTCCTGTCACAAACAGGAAACCCCATCCGATACGAGCGCGAGTCGGTCGGTTGAATCCCGGCATATCAAGGATGAGGCCGATGATTAGACCACCAAGCATCTGCGCAATCCAGTAAAGAGCACCGTTGAGCGAGCGCGTTCGGATATTGAAGGTCATGCCATTGACCACATTCTGCTGGTATGAGTAGAAGACGTTGGCCGAGAAGAACAACGGCAACATGCACAACACGCGCCAGTCAGTCATCGTGTTGAGTGCCTGTCGGGCAGTCTTGCGCCAGTTCTTTTCAGATTGTGGTGTGGCTTGCAACTGCGAGACACGAACACTCGAAGGTGGGCAGATGAGCAGGCCCAGCAGCCACCCGATGGCCATGATAATCAAAAGAGCGATATAAGTTCCGTCCGAAACAGTGCCACTCTTGGAGTGATAATTGAGGCCAAAGCTTGCGAGGGATCCAACGCCACCACCAAGGTTGAAGATAATCCAGAATGCGGCAATGGCGCGCCCTTTTTGCGATTCCTTCACATATGTAGTCATGATCGCACCCTGTGCAACCCATAAGAATGAGGCGCCTACGCCGAGAATAGCACCGGCCGCGATCACAAAGGCTCCGTTTTTGGTGGCTATAAAAGAGAAGCTGATATCAGCATGCCGTCTAGGAGTCTCGAAGATTGGTTGCGATACCATTGAAGCACAAAAGACTGCCGGAGTATAAGGGATAGGTCCATCCACCCAGGAGGAGGCAGACTCGAGGACCAACACGGTCGAAGATAGGCCCTACCACAAACAGCGCAGTGGCTGCAGTTGCAGCGAGGAGCGCGACAGTGGCATTGGCAGCCACTGTCTGGTCGACTTGACCGGAACCTCCTAGGCCCGCGAGAGCATTGTACATCTACATTGGTCAAAATGTTAGTAAGAGTCGAGCCATGCAGGAGGTCCAAAAACCTACTCCAGGGCAACAGAAACAGATGAAGCTGATGAGGATGATCTGAAACCAGCAGTGCGTGTAAATTTGGTAGAAGATCGAACGCTTGCCATCCTCATTAGCATGCACCACCGAGTCGGCAGCATCTGCATGTCTCGTGCCGTCCTCCATCGCGTTGAGTAGGTATGACAAGGGACCTAGCCAACACTGATTCACTCTGTCAAGGACTGCAAGCTTTATTAAGCAGTAGACCAAGCAGAGACAATCAAACGCAAGGCCGGGGCCCCCTCCCTGAATAAGAGGGTCATTTGTGTGGTATCTGCAACGCTACTTCGGTCAAATTGCCGATCCCTCCTTGATTGCAACAAGCATTGTAGTATCACGAGTGGAGTAGGCCAATCAAAAGACTGTCATCACTTATCAGTTGCTCGCAAATGCCGATGGACTACGGATTATGTATCCATCAACTCGTCGGGGAACGGCAGGGGAAACCGCGGAATCCCTCCACATTAGGCAAGTTTCTGGGGAAAGAAGCTCCACCAAGTCGCGTGTTTGGGGGACCAACCGCGGTTGACATCGCCAAGGGGCGCCGCCTCAATACCACCATGGTCCGCGTTACGACTCCGGCTGTGACGCCCCCACCCCGCATCTCGCTGAGCGAGAGCCGATGGAAGACCCTTGTTTGACGGACCACTAGTCGACGGCTCTGCACGGCATGGATCCGAGACTCCGAGGCGGCCCAGGAACGATGAAGAGACCAAGTCGGCCAACGGGGGTCGGCAATACTGCTCTTGGACCCTGGCTATTGTCGGGTTCTCATCAACGGTCGCTACACAGCTAGTCAGCCTCTGTGCCACGGAGAGCGATTCGTAGAAGAATCTGTGCGTCAACTCTGCCATTCAAAAGACCAGAGTTGATCCCTACATCGGCGCATTCATCGAGTGCCGACAAAATGGATCTGAGCAGCTTGGCCCAGTTGCAGACCGAGGGGGTTAATCCCCGAACAGTACACATCGACCGCATGTCGACAATGGAGATGTGCACAGTCATCAACTCTGATGACCACAGGGTGGCGGGGAGTGTCAGTGTCTGTCTACCTGAGATCGCTGGAGCGATTGACGCACTGGCACCGCGTGTTCGTCGAGGTGGCCGAGTTGTGTATGTTGGGGCGGGAACTAGTGGAAGGTGAGTGAAACCCTTTCAGCTGTACAAATCACTGCGGTGACCAATAACGAAGACATTTAGACTGGGAATCCTGGATGCTTCAGAGATTCCACCGACTTTTGCCGCTCCGCACTCCCAGTTCATTGGAATTATTGCTGGCGGAGATGCAGCTATCCGTCAAGCACAAGAGGGCGCCGAGGATAACGCACAAGCGGGTGAAGATGACCTAAAGCGCCTCAATCTGAACCCGGAGCTTGATAGTGTCATTGGAATCGCTAGTTCAGGCCGGACACCGTATGTCTTAGGATGTTTTGCTTTTGCCAAACGGCTAGGCTGCGTCACGATTGGCGTGGCTTGCGCATCACCCTCGGCGATGGGCCGCTCAGGCGATGTGGACTTTCTCATTGCTCCGCTTCCAGGACCAGAGGTTGTGACAGGCAGCACGAGACTCAAGTCCGGCACAGCGACGAAGTTAGTCTTGAACATGTTAAGCACAGGCACCATGATCCGAGTGGGCAAGACCTACGGCAATATGGTATGAACCTCCCTCTAGAAGTTGATGACCCACAAAAGACTGACACGAGACTAGATGGTCGATATGGTGGCGTCAAATCTCAAACTGGAGCAGCGATCACGAAACATGCTCCGTCGTCTCAGCCCAAAGTGCAGCTCAATGTCGGATTCGGAGCTAGATGCACTTCTTGCGCAGTCCAAGCGCAGCGTTAAGCTTGCAATGCTTGTTGCCGAAACCGGGGAAACAGCGGAGGTTTGCCAACAGCACTTGGATTCGGCTGGTGGCGTGTTGGCTGGCGCATTGGATCGAGCATGCCCATCCACCCAGCCTTTGTCACCCAACGAGATTATCTCAAGGCGATTCGCGCTGTGCATCGATGGTGGCGGTACTAAATGTGCTGTGGCCATTGCTGACGGCTCTGGTAGCACGAGCCATGGCTATGCTGGCCCTTGTAACCTGTATGTAGCAGTTATTCCTCTATAACGGTATGAATGATGTGGACTGACCGCACTGCTAGGACCGACGGTATCGGGAATATCCCTGGGGTTGTTGCTACCTTGATTAAGGCCACCAAGAGTGCGCTTAAGGAACATCTGCCAACTGGGACGGAGCTCAGTGATGCGGAGTGGAAGCAATATTTGAAATCCTGCTTTAGCTCCGTTTGGGTCGGTCTTGCAGGCTTGGACCGCGCTGGATTGCACGAAACACTGGCTCCGACGCTGGCGGAGATCTTCGGACTCGATCGTACCACATCTCGCTTCCGGCTGACAAGTGACGTTGACCTGTTACCCGCATCAGTCTCAGTTGAAAAGAATCCTTGTTCTGTACTCGTTCTCATCGCGGGTACTGGCAGCATTGCCATGCGGTACACTTGGACAGAAGGTTCGGGCTATGTTCGCCTGGCTCGCTCTGGTGGTTGGGGCCATATGTTGGGAGATGAGGGTGGCGGTCATTCCATTGGGCTAGAGGCCATAAAGCACACGCTGCTCGTTTTGGAAGAGCAGACTCTTGGTCTTCGACCACAAGCGTTGGACAAGTTCGAGGATGCAGTGATCAAGCAGCTGGGCTGTGCAGCCTCCAAAGACGGCCGTATCGACATTCTGAGCGACCTCTTGTCTGGGAATCACCAAGAGACTGTCAAAACCCGGATTGCCCAGCTGGCTGAGACCGTGTTGGAACTGGCATTCCACGACAGCACCGCTAATGCAATCGTGAGGGCTCAAACAGCTCATCTTGTCACCAAGACGCTGGGACGACTGACCGACCCTAAGAGCACTGGCTATGCAGCAACCCAAGAAACCGTATTAGTACTTGCGGGTGGGTTGATGAGGAATGAGGGATATCAACGGGCTTTGAGAGAGCAGTTGGACCAGCGAGGATTACACTTTGAGGGTGTTCGCGTGGTGGACGACGTTGCTGCGGCTGGGGCCACGTTCTTGTTGAAGAGGAAAGAGTGAAGAGGTAGAAAGTTGACAGATTATGACCCCCTCCCCAAAAAACACCCAAATATAACGATAGCTCAAGCAGTACATAGAAGAGAATTGCATTTTGGTGAATACAGCTGGCCTAGCCTTGAGTATCGCGCAATTTCAACTCCCCGGTAGTTGTCCAAAATCCTTCCCTTGGCAAAACAGTCGCCCATTTGTCGCGTCAGCTCCTCTTTCCAGCTATGGGGACTACTTCGATCACAGACTCCATGCCAGGACTGTGATTCCAAACTCCAGAAATCTCCAAGCCACACTATGCAGCAAGTTCCCATTGACTCTCAGATCGCGTGACCCCAGCACCGATGCTCATCATCAATCTACCTACGATACTGATGTTTAATACAGGCTAACTAAGCTACGCAGTCACATAGGTGGAGTACGCTCCTTGAGCTAGCCGTTTGCCCAAGAGGAACTTATCTAATGATCGTAAGGCAGACTATAAAGCGGTCAAATATAGCGCGTTATTCCATAGTATCTATCTGCTGCTGTACCTACAGGAATCCTATCTGCTAAGGTCTACCAAGAAATCCAAACAGCAATTTTTCATAGCGACTCCGCAAACTGAATTGACCTCGTTCAAAATCAATACTATATTAGTAATTCCTGAACTAACTCATAGAGTGACCGCTATAAAGCGGACACAAGACCCAGGCACCTTGCGCCGATCCTTAATCGAGTCTTAACTGTGTGAGTCATGACAGGAATAGCTACAGAGGCTATGTCGGTGTAGATAACACGTGAGGCAAGCCTGGCAAGAGCCGCAAGACTCCAGCCTTTATGCATGATCCCTGCCTGCTTCTCGCTGCCTGACAGTTGCCTCGTTCTGTGATGTGCACGGATACTCTATGCGGCTGAACGCATGTACACGTGATGTGACGAGGTGATACATACTACGCTCTCGAATCGCGCTTTGTCCGTGGGTGTTGATGTGATGCACCAGACCCCAGACGAGTTTTTAGGCTCAAATTTTGAACAGCCTCCAGAGATTTGTCTTCCCCGGCTTGAAATACTATTTATCAGTCACAGTGCTTAAGATGGGGCGTGTTCTGAACTGCTCTTTCAGTAATGGAACGTTTGATGCGGATCTGGACGTTGTGAGTAAGAGACCATGAGTTGCTGGGCTTTTAACCCTTTTTCTGACTGTATTCATCTTTTCTGTAGGCTGGAGAAGGGGTCAGTATCCTCGTTCTCCTACACTCGATTCATGATCGCTGATAAAACAAAAGGTACTTATCGCGTTTTTAGCAACAGCATGGTGTACCTTCATCGTGGCAATAATTAGCTACTTCACACGAGATTGCCTGCCTCCCGACGTACTCAGTGGCGCCGACTGGGTCTTTTCCCCGATTCTGGACAAGATCCCGACCCACTTACATCGCCCGAAGGTGGTACAGAATGTTATGCTGATTCTGGGGGACCTGCAACTTGTCACGGGTACTTCGATATACCTGGTTGCGTACAGCAGACATTCCAGCATAACGCAATATCATTTCAACATCGCGGTCTTACAGGCCCAGATAGCGCTCGCGATGTACACGATTATTGCACTCGCGACCCGAGACATTCTTCGCAAAAGCTGGTATAAACGCTTCTGGAGATGGCCATGGGTCTTCACTATCTGCATCGCAGACATTATCAGCAGTTTCATAATATGGGATGATGGTTTTTTAAAAGACCTGAACTGGGGACTACCTATGCAGTGTGCGTGGAGAACTATTGGTCACTATAGCGGCAATGCCCTTGTTTTGCTCATTCTGGACGTATTCACGTCGCTGTCGGATATTTCGTACGCCACAGCTCTTTTTTTCCCGTCTTCGGAACGCTTCAACTTTCTTCAACAACTTCCGGACTTGATCCTGGAGCTTTCTCTCTTCAGTTTCAAAGGAGCGTGCAGACTTGACCAGCAGCGCATGACAACACAAAGCTCTCTACTGCGGGCGGCGATGACGCCTATCACAAAAACTTTGCTCTTTCTTGCCGGTCTGATCTTCATTATCGTTCTCTGTGTTACGGATATTTTTACTTCAAGAAGCTTCCAGATCCTCTTGTCTTACATCAAACTGATGTCAAATTCCGCCCTTCTCGTTGCCCTAAGGCAAAATGCCCGAAATAATGGAATGGAAGGCGACGAAAACTCGTGGGGATTTGGGCAAATCTTGCCTCTCTTACTCCTAACCTTACCCATTTTTCAAACAATGGAAATGGTGCTAGGTATCTTCCCACGCAGTCTTTCCTTTCTATTTAAGACCAGAAAATATCTAATAAATGCTATAGATCGCAAGGACACTGGTCTAAAAGAGTCTAGACGATCATCATCATGTCCATCGAAAAAGCCGAATACCAACGAGGAATCATCAGCGCAAAACCAGCAGCGTAACGAGGAGACGGAGCAATCACCTGCGCGCGAGTCTCAAGAGACACTGTACTCCCCTTCAGAAGTTGACTTGAATCTATCTACTCCCCTTTCTCGCCAGAGTACACTGGATGCGTTGGATCAAATTACGCCACAAGGTGGTCGCCAACAGAGAGTAGACACCGAAATGGGCCGCTCGATTTTGTCTGATAATACTCGAGTCCAGCAATCAGCTTCCGGGGGCTCTTTGAATTTGTTTGAAATTGCAACAGACAACTCACTGGAGGCAGTTCGAGATTGCCAGAACCCAAACTACAGGAAGCTTAGCATTGTTTCCGTCGGGATAGTTTATCTTATGATACTCATCTTGTACCATTATGCATTGGGGACTGAACGAATCACTTCAGCACTGACAGACAATCCAGTCGTGTCCGATGAATAGGCGGCATTTTGGGGAGGCTATTCACGGTCAGATTGGGAGTCTTCCATGAACCACACGAGCGACTCTGTTCACTGACCTGGTAAACAAGGCGCAGAAAAGTCTCCATCGGTGTTTCCACGGCCAATTTAAGTTGGTCGATCATCTGAAGGAGCTCGAAGTGGGTATGTGGTGACGAATTTAAGGCATCTCGCAAGGCCAGCTGTCCGAGGCGATGAACCATCGCATACAGAGGCGTGACCACCGTCATGCCTGCGGCTGAAGAGAAGAAAACGGAGACAGGATGAGCGGTGCGGGAAGACGGCGTTGATAATAGGTAGCACGGGCAAGGGAGACTCCCTCCTGTCACTGGTTTTCTAAGGCCGCTTTATACACCCTGCAATTGCCTCTTCAAATCATGTCACCCAGCCAGGATGTATACGCTCCGAGAGCTGGGCAGCATCCCCTACCTGTTCGCCTACCGGCAGACGTTTCTTTCAATGGCGATCCATAGCCGAAGGATGTCCCCGGTAACTCGTTAGGGAGGAGCAGCCTTGTGTTTGACCCTAAAAGGCCTGTCATACGGGCTGCAACGGTCCATAGGCCCGATACAGGTGACCCTTGGTGAGGAGTGACGAAGAATACGATGCTGCAAGTACTGTTAACGATATCTCGAGCGGCATCCTTGGGATTGGCCAAGGTCTGCTGAAGGTTCAGGTCTGCACGTGGGGGAATTAAAGTCGCGATGCACCTCTTTTATGATATTTCCCCAAAGCTGTGGCCGAGGAAGACGATCGGAACAGACTGTAGTCTCTTGTTAGCCGTGTTATCTTCGGATTTTGCAGACCTCACGCATAATGTAATGACCGATGCTTCACAAACTCGTCCAACAATAGGTGACCGATCTGCTGCGCTGACATCATCGGGGAGTCAATCAACCAGCCAGAGTTATAAGTTTTCCACTGGCGCCCCCTCACGGGAAACACCAAAAAGGGCGAAGCGTAGCGCAATATCATATACAATAAGGTTAGGTAGAAGACTACTCCGTGCTTACTACCTGATAGAACTGTATTTAAAGCTTGGGGCCATGGTCATGATGGGCGTCAGTCATAAACAAAGAGGTGAGGTTCATGACATCGCCCGAGAACGCCTGAACACGATGGTTTACCATGTTTCTTACGTCCTCGGTGGGTGTCAAGCCATAATGCTTAACTGCGTAGGCTGCGGAGATGGAGAAACAGAAGAGAGCTGCCAGTTGCATGATTGAGGAGGGAGGATGAGTGAATCGATACAAGAATAAGATGATTCACGAAGTTGAGTGGTTTGAATCGTTATGGAGTCAAGAAGCGATTTCCTCCTGGCATTCCCTTTGCTAAAATACTCAAGGATGAAGTGCACAGGCCATGCTTAGAACCGACTTTCTGCCCGGTAAATTAAATAAGGCATTTACTTTCCTACCGACATCTTGTTTTCTGGCCTCCTCGTACATCTATGTGGGTACTTGAAGAGGTCGTACTGGGAAGGAATATCCTTGTCCTATTTTTTTTTGAAATTGCACAGCCCTATTAGATAGCAATAACAGACTCTCATCAACCCACAATATACGACAGTAGATTCTTTCAGCTGGAAAAAGAGAAATATGCCTAAGCAAAGTTGCGCAAAGTAACATCCCAACATATGTGGCTCAAGATTCTACCCGGAATTGTCTGTAGTCTGCCAAGACTAGAGAATACTGAGACATTTTCTGGAATTCCCCTCCGCTAGATATCTAAGCGGTAATCTTTCTCCATGATTCCCTCGCCTTCAAGCTGGTCCACCACTTTTGGAAAGCAGGATACTTGGCATAAAGCTCCGCGGCACCAAATTGCTCAACAAGAACCCCATAAGGCAGGTGGTAGAGATCTGCGAGAGATAGCTTATCGCCTGCTAGGTAGGGCTGCTTGGAGAGAACGCGCTCGTAACCTTCCAAGACAGTGTTGAGTTGACCCAGGAGAGCCTGGACTCGGGCTTCATCAGTGGCACCAAGACCCTTTCGGGGCTTGAAAATCTTCTCGAATGCAATTTGCGAGACGATGGGGTCGAAATAGGCCTGCTCGATGGAGACAGCCTTGTTGTAGTTTTTCAGTCAGTAGGCATTGCAGTCATTTGCGGGCAAGGGTAAGTCTCATACCTGCTGGAAGAGAGCGAATGCTTTCAAATCAGTCTCATCGGGATACAAATCAGTTCCCTGAGAACGGTACTTGGTAGCGATATATTGAGCAATGGCTCTGCTCTCTGTGTAATTTAGCACGTAGTTCACATGGATACTATGCATCAAATATCCAAAGGATAGGGATGACGCTTACCAAAGACTTGCACACCAGTTTCGGTATCCTCGAGAACGGGGACCTTGCCAAATGGATGCAGCTTGCTGAGGTATGCCTCAGACTTTTGCTCGCCCTTGCTCAGATCAACAGGGATAAACTCGACCTCCACCCCCTTCTCCAAGAGAACGGTGCGGACCCGGTTGGTGCATGTAGAGAGGGGAAACCCGTGCAGCTTGAGAACCATTTTGATTAATAGGGGGTTGTTATTGAACTGAAGAATTTTTACGTAGCTGGCGGGATATTGTTGCAAGATCTTAAATAGTCGTGCTGCAAGCAATGTACGTTGTGTCATGAATCATAACAAGCGAGAATTTCCGTTCGTCATCAGAACGGAATGCTTCCGCCTTATGACAAAGCCCTTTCAATTGCTGACTGTTCACTGGTTTGATCGACAGTTTTATCAGTGCCTTACTGCCCACCAGACCCCCACATTAGTCTTCGTAGATTTTCATGAATTTTTGACTACCATTTGATATTCTAATAATAATCCAAAAGCTGCACGGCATCTATGGACGTAATAATAGGCCTATTGTACATGGCAACGAGAGAAAACAGGTGACATCCTCCAAATCGACCCCAGGGTACGAAGAAAAGGAAATTGGATCAGGCTATGAAACAAAAAGCAGGATTTTAAGCCATCAGAGCGACCAAGATCGCGGCAATAATGGTCGAGAACTTCACAGATGCCCTTTCGGCAGCACCGGTGAAGACAGGACTGACAGCGCTGCTGGTGCTTCCCTGGAACGTGCTACCCGAGGCACTGGAGGCGGCGGTAGCTACAGCAATGGCGGACTTGGTTTGTGAGGCCTTGTAGGTGGGCATGGAACTGGCCCCAGGAGCGAGGATAATGGTCGGTAGAGGGCGATCCGTGGAGGCCGCAGTCTCTGGCACACCGCTAGATGCAGCATCAGCACCAGTCGGTTGGCTGGATGTCTGGCTGCTGACACCCGCGAATGCAGAAGAAGCAGCAGGGGTAGAGATAGCCGTAATCTCGGCTGCAGGCTGGGTTTGAACTTCCTTAACAGAGTTTGTAGCAGATGAGGACGCAGATTGAACGGACTCTACAGTCGCAGGAACATTCACGACGTTGGAGCTCTGGGCAGACGAAACAGCGAGAGCCTTGCTCTCAGCAGCAGCCGCGGAATATGAGGAGGCCTCGGCGACCGGGCAAAGAGTGGTGGTCGAAGTAACAAATTTGGTGACGTACCGCGTAGAGGAGCTCTTTGTAGACTGTTCAGTGGCGGAGGAGACATCACCACCCAGCTCGCCAACAGTGCCAGCAGTGACGGCAGCAGCACGGGTTTCGGTGGAGGCAGAAGCAGCGGAGGCAGTGCTCCATCCTTGGCTAGCAGGAGTCTCAATCACGGCGGCGGAAGTGTGAGCAGTGGTTTCCGGGGCAGCCTGAGTAGCAGAAGCCTCGGTCACAGCCTGGGCAGCAGCAGTGTGGGTAGTGGTCGAAGAATGCGTAGTAGAGGCAACCGTCTCGGCAGCCACACCGGTCTGGTAAATCTTGACGGAGTTGATCTCCCAGTAGGTCTGCTCGAATGCGGTAGGATTCTTGGCGACGTAGTTGATGCAGCTCTGGGAAGAATCAGAGCCGGACATGGGGCATCCGGACTGGCCGTAAACACCACCGGCCCAGTCACCACAGAAGGTCACATCAAAGACGAACGATTGAGCCTTGAAGCTGTTGCCGACGTCACAACCGTCCTCGACGAGAGCCATGGGAGTGCCAAACTGGGAAACGTCGGGTGCGCCCTTGGTGATTGAAGTTGGGATAGAAGCGCGGGGGAAGAACCAGATCTTGACGAACTGCTCAGTCCACTGCATAGCGTAAACTCCGCCACCCTGCTTGTTGAACGAAGTACCGTAGCTGCCCTGCTGGCCCTCGATAACACAGCCGACGGTGCCCAGGTCCTCACCACAGCCAGTGGCATTGACGGCTCCGGTCATACCTGTGTCCGTGATGCTGCAAGTACCAGCAGTGTGCATGACAATCTCGTTGTGGTCCTGTAGATTGACACCTTCGATGATATCGATTTCACCGTCCGCAGGCCAGTTCTTACCCACCGACCAGAAGGCAGGCCAGCTACCACAGATACTTCCCGGCATGTGCGCAATGTCAGCGATCACCAAGGACTGGTCGTAATACTTCTTGCTGCCGATGCGCACAGAATCACGGCCCTTGCCAGTTGTGGATAGAGTTGTCTTGTGGTCGACACCGATATAAACACTGCCGCCATCGTTGATCTTGACGAGGCCTGCACTCTCTGCGCTGCTTTTGTCGAGATATGTGACGAAACCATTGGTGGGATCGGACCCAGTGTGGAAGTTGAAATAATCCAAGAAACCCTCGCCGTGCCAATTCTCAACCAGTTGATAGTTTTCAGCAGTCGCCGCGACTGGCGCGGCGAGCAAAGCGAAGAACAGCGAACCAGCGCTGAGGGAAAGCGACGAGGACAACATGGTTCCCGTCGGATGTATGAAAGGTGGTACAAAGTGAAAGGGGACGCAAATGCTCAGGCCAGATGCTGGTTCGATACACACACTATCGAGTGGCACAACAGCAACTGAGCAGAAAAAGCGAAAGGTAGCGAGGGAAGGGATGTGAAGATAAAAGGAACGAAAGATCTAATCAGAAAAAAAAAAAAGGATGAAAGAAAGGCAGACAATCCCAGATCGTCAACGAAAAGAATGAAGAAAGGAATGTGCGATGAGCGCGTGGAGGAGGAGGAGGAGGAGGGGATGGAGGAAAGCGCGAGGCAGCAGCATCCCAAGTATTTAGAATCTTCGAATGTTTGGAATTATTTCTTCCATACTCCTCACTTCTCTGCCTCCAGGAGGCGGACACTCCACTTGCAAGCTCTTTTTCAGGCACTTGCCTTCGCTCCACCACTCATCGGCCAGAACGACTCTGGATGCTACCAACCCCTGGACGATGGCTTTGTATGTGACGGCGGAGTTCCTTGTCCAAAGACTCCAAACTCGCCACGGATGGTCCAACGGGCATCGTTCAGCGGTCTCGGCCAGGGGTAGTAAATCCACCGACGTGCGCGATCGACCATTCTTCACTGGGGGTGGATCCCAGCGATTCACCAAGATGATGGAAGGACGCGCGGTGACTGGCTCCGGGCATGGCGGCTAAGAGGTGGACTGGGGGTCAACTTGAAACGCCATTTGCTCGGCACGGATACACTCCAAACAACCGGCGAAACAGAAGCCCCTCCCTCGTCCAGCCATCTTGCCATGGGCGTTAAAAGGGGAAGTGGTGTCCGACATGGTGGTCGCGCTTTTGAGAAATGTCTCTGAATCATTCTTTCAGTCAAGATACTCAATTATGATGACTGTGTGAATGGTATGACCTCATCTCACATTCCTCATTCTCGCGGCCATGTTTATGGTTGCGTAGTGCGACCGAGCCGTTGATCCGGAGATGACGGGCGATCACTCGGGGTGGCCCGAGTCAGAAGTGTGATTGCATGAATCAGAACTGGTAAGTTGGGATGAATGAAGCCAAGCAACACAGGCTAAATGGGACAGGTGAAAGGAGAATTGACGATGATTGGAGGGAGGGAGAAGAAAGAAAAGATGAAACCAAAGGAGGGGAACTAGACTCGAGAGGCTTGGCATTGAACCCCACCAACCAAGAGAACTGTACATGCTGTGCATACTCTCTGATATACTGGATGATTTGAATCGTTCATGATCACTTTATTGCCTTATCGCTCATCCAATTCTGTCTTGTTCTGAACGAGTGGCAATTTTAGAGCTAGAGATGCGCCTGCGCCTCCATTATGATGATGTCGCCTGGGAGAAGAGCGAGGAGATCATTGATACCCGGGTACAACAGCTTCTTGATCCTGAGGTTCTTGCATCCGTTGGCAATTTTCTTGTCAAATACCGTCGTCCAAATAAGCCGGGTCTTTTCGATGTTCTAGCCAAAGGGGCCTTTAACATCCTCTTCAAGATAACATACAAGAACACGAGCGCTGCTGTGATACGCTTCCCACAGCCGGGTGCTATCATGTTCCCTGAAGAGAAACTCCGTAATGAAGTCGCTATAATGCGATATATTCGAGGTAAAACCTCAATTCCGGTACCTTTCATCTACCACTGGGGGAATAAAGATCAGAGTCCACTGAAAGTAGGTCCTTTTTATCCTCATGGATTGTATCGAGTATACTGCCGATATGTACGATCTTCTTAACACGCCTGGATGCCCGAATGATCAACGTGGAATTCTGGATCCCAATATCAACGAGGCAAAGCTACAAACTCTCTATAAAGAGGCAGCAAGTGTACTTGTCCAACTTTCTCGGCTATCTACCCCAGATCGGATCACTAGACCAGATTGACGATTTCACCTGGAAACTGGCATCTCGACCTCTATCCAGGCCTATGAACGATCTTATTCGACTCGGATCCCTACCCCGGTCGAAATTACCAAGAGAAACATTCCACTCGAAGTCATCCTACTTTGAAGCGTTGGCAGAACTACATCTTACACATCTCATTCATCAGCGAAACGATGCAATCCTTTCAGCCGAAGATTGCGCCGAAAGTTCGTTGCCAGATATCTCTTTCGCAAACTTTCCAGAGAGAGGAAGTGGACGAAAACGTGGGCCTCGCTTGATAACGGTCCATTCAAGATCTGGTTGACGACCTCCGACCGACTAACTTTCTCATGACATGGATGAGAACTTAAAGCTCGCGGGCGTTGTTGATTTGGAATTCACCTATGCAGCCCCAGTTGAATTTTCCTACGCGCCACCTTGGTGGCTTCTTATCGAAAAGCCCGAGTACTGGCCTCAAGGCTTGGATGACTGGTGTATGCAATATGAGCGGCAACTTCAGACCTTCCTCAAAGCACTGACTCGTCACGAAGACGTTGAGATGCAGAATGGTAGACTAATAAGTGATCAGCGACTGTCTAGTCCGATGGAAGCAAGCTGGAGAAGTGGAGATTTCTGGGTGGTGTACGCCGCAATGAACAACTTTGCCTTTGACTCGATATACTGGCAAAGGATTGATCAGCGATATTTCGGATCAGCGACTTGTGCCTTGGAAGATGTCTGGCAGCAAAGATTGGATCTCTTGGAGCCGGAAGAACGAGATGAAATGGAGAAATACGTTGCTCTCAAAGTCGAAGAGATGGAAAGCAGAGTCTTGGCATGGGATCCCGACGAGTATACTTTGGAGTTTGCGAAGACCAAGCTTGAGAGCCAGACCACCAAGGAGGGTGACGAAAATGCGTCTTAGAGAAGGATCAGCCTCAATGCTGACACCCCCGAGACACATCTTAGAAATCAACTCTATTCAGAGTGCTTGAATTCTCGTTCAGGGCAACTTGTTATTGTTCGGGGTGGCGCTCCGTGATTTGATTAGAAAGTACATCACGCTATCGTAAGACATAAGTAAACATATTGCTTCTAGGTGGCGACATATACCAGTCACAGATGGATATTCCAATACTACCAGTGCCCATAAATGGCCTAGGGGGCTTTCAGGCCCCAGTACAGTCTCATCATTTCTAATTCGGTAAATCAAATGCTTAGAGTGTAAAAGAAATTCTTCACAGCCAGGAAGCTATCAGAGGGTTGGCAGAGTTTTAAATTTTGTGCAGATACCGCGCCACATATCAAGAGCTTAGAGCTCGATTGATTCTAAATGGCTAACAAATAGCGGTCTCATGCAGCAGCACCAATCAATTAAGATGAACAGCCGTGGTTGATCTCAGACTTGCCTCCGGTGGCTAGTAGGTCTCACGGGGGGCCCTCGAGTATAAATACTCTGACCCCGGCGCAGCATCCCGCGCGATTGTTTTCCGGCAGCTCATGATCGCATCACACTACCTTCCTTGTTCAGGCCTCGCAGCTTCATTCTTGCGATACTTCCGAGCGTTCGGAGTTTTGAGCCGCAAGTTATCATCGTCATGAAGACACCTCTTGTGACGGAAGTGGAGATTATTTACGACCGTGAGAGCGCGTCACCGCTTCCTACAAGTGTCATTGATTTGACGCTGACCAAGGAAGCGAGGAGGGCCCGTAGTGCGCCGGAGGCTCTTATGCTAGGGGATGGTCTCGACCTTGAGGATCCCATGGTCTCGCACTATGCTGATACTGGAAGTCAACTTGGTATGTTCGTGAACGAATTATCAATGTTCTTGGTTATGCTGAAGTTGCGCTAATAGTTCTTTGGACAGCCCAGGATGAGAAAGCAGCAATGAATCCTTCTAATATCTTGAATGGGGCAGATCGACTACGCCATCACACGCCTTTTAACTCGGAGAAATACGAAGATGAAAGGTCTCATGAGGTCGTGGGCACAAACTTTCAAGAACCTTTGCGTCACATCCAGGTGAATCCTTATATGAACCTCAAACTATAATTTTGCAATATAAATAGCTTGATCTACTCAAACGTGCGGTGACTAGCGAGGAACAACCGTATAGAGACCTGGTGTCATTGTATCGAGCATTATCTTGACATCAAGCATCCACTGTAGGTGTAGAGGAACTCAAAATCAAACCAGGAGGTGCTTGTTCTTTGTTAATCAAAAAAGAAATGCAATTTCATACACTTCAAGGTCGCGATAACTGATCTTCTACTCATTCTATACTCCCCGGGTGATTTACATGATCTAATCCAACTGCGGAAGATCCTCTGGATCCGGCCATTTGCGAAATAGATCCTGCAAGTAATCCTTCGGCGCCGCCATCAACCCTACCACCGTTTGGTAAGGAGGGTCAGGGAGATCAGGATGAGCTCGAGTCGGCGCAAACCACTTGGTGCGGCCAAACGACTTAGCGAGGCGTTTACTCTCTTCCGCCGTGATTGCGTTTTCCAACTTGACAAGGTCCTTGGTTTCTTCGGCTTGGGAGTGGGAAGCCAAATCATCCATTAGAATTGTGAGCGTAGGAACAAATCGAGGGTCGGAGGCTTTGAGATCTTGGAAGACTTGGAGCTTTTCTTTGATCTAATAAGGGGACAGTCAGTTTGAGCTTGATCTATGATAACCGCAAAGATGCATAGCCTAGATAATTTATGTGCGGCAGAGCAGGTTAGACTTACCATCTGATTTTGTCGCCTATCCTGGGTAGCCTCCCCAGGCCCTAAGTATCGGTCGAGTGCGGGGAAGAGGACCAGTTCCTCGCCCATGATATGCCTTGCGAGACCCCAAGTCAACTGATTCTGGAAGCGGGTCTGCTCGTCCGGGTCATCGTTGTCAACCAGGCGATCATAGTAGGCCTGTAACTCGCGATGATCGGCGCTAATCACATCGGTAATGCGACTCATTTTCAGCCTAAACCTCAGCAAGGAGTCGAGTTGATTATCTGAGCAGGTGGTGGTGTATGGATATATTTCTGCAGTCGTTTAGCATTTTTAGCCATCTTTTTTCTTCTTTTCTTCCAGGCACGCAGTAAGCTACTCCTCACCCTGCAGTGATTTTCTCTGAAGTGAATATGACGTGCATATATAGATGTTGTGGTTTGTTGACGCATAAATTCTCCGAGGAATCGAGATCCGGTGCAACACTCAAGATCACCTGGTAGAGTCCGATGATCCACATCGGCCCTGCTGGTCAGGTCCGGGCCCTTGAAATGCTTACTTTTACCACGTACACATAACCTACTAGACAGGTCAACGATTGAAAAGTGGACTCATGGACAACGAGCGCTGTCTAGCGCGCGATTCAAGGATTGGTCGCTGTTCGTGTTTCGTGGGGGTCTGAGAGCCTGGTGGATGGTGTTGGCGTGTGGACTGGACCTTTTGGACAACCCCAAAGCAACGTTGTTTGCTTGTGCTTTTGGGGTCAAGTTGATTCAAAAATTCCCATCTGCTCTTTCGCATTCTCTTCTTCCTTTCTCCTGGTTGTCCTCCCGCCATCTCGTCCCTCATAGTCCTTAACCCGCGATCGTCGGGGCATCACCACTATATCCTACCTCAACCATGACCAGCCCAGCGCTAGGGTACGTGACCTGAATATTATCGCTAGTATAGCTCTCTCAAGGACTAACCAGAGAACAGAGAACCCCTCGCATGCCCTATTAGGAATTCCACGCGACCCCAGGATGACTTGCTCGGTTACCAGTCACCAACACTCGTTCAGAACAAAGCTGTTGCCCAACCCACAAGAGACGGAGCTACAAGAGGCCCAAGAGTAAGAACAGCCGTCACGGCCCAGCCGCCCGCGATCTCGCGGGGAATCTGTGCCCGCATCGCTCAGTGGCTGTGGCCTCCTGGCGGGTGGGGCCCTTCATGCAAATCCACCGGACTTGGATCTGCTCAGTGCGTTGGCTCTGGCACGAGTTCCCATCAATCAGCATCAGCATCAGCATCGCGCCCGCAGCTACACATCCAGCCCGCCGCAAGTGCCTCGCTGGACTGCAAGGCGTGTCGTGAGTGGAACGTGGTATGCGATCAAGCCAGGCCGCAGTGTGAACACTGCTATGAACAGCAAATCCTCTGCTTCTATGTCAGTCCCAGCCAGAATCCGAAGCGCAAGGCGAGGAGGCGTACGGAAAACATAGCCGGGGGCGGGGAAGTGGAAGTGGCGGGCATCTCAGAGGGGCGTGCGCATCCGTTCTGATGTGCAGGCAACAAGGAGAGGTTGAATTGAATATATTCGAGGTGCCTGGTGGATTTTTGACATGAAAAACGGACCAGACCTGTTAGTCTGAACAATATTACTCAAGAGAACGTCCAGATACTATTCTCTATTCTCTTCCTCGGTAGCATTATGAGATGCACTTCACAATGCGGCGACGGTCTATTAACCGTGAAGTATACGTGAAGAGAAAATCGGTGCATGTGATGAAAACATGGACCGGGCCGGTTGTCTTTTTTTTAATAAGAAAGGTTCTCTGTGCTGATCACTACAATTGATATAGATAATCCCGATGTACTTCAGTGTGAAAGGATTCGGAGCAGAGTCGTCCTGTCCTCGGTCGGACGAGCCAAATGCGGCGGTTGCCACAAAAGGCTTCTTACAGCGGAGTCCATAACGCTTTTTCAAATTTTGAACCGGCAGAAATTTGATTCAGGGCATTCCTGTTTCCATACATTGTGCACATCTACTTATATGGTCTGAGAGAAGCGGTGAATTGAGTGTCTCAATTTATGACTGGGCCGGGCCACTCATTGAGTAGTCCGCTGTGGCTTCTCAATATTAAATCTCCGCCCACACCGCCGGACAGGCTCCTCCGCACAGCTGCTTGAATATCGGCGAAGACTCGAATTGATCTTCTTCCCCATTGAGAGACATCGGACAGCCGAGTCCGGTCGCCTCCACAAACTTGACAGTCGGAGCACCGTGACCCGAGACCGCTCCACTGTCCTGTATATAGCAACCAGATGCCCTGGAGAAAAAGATAGGAACAGTAGCAATATCATCTTCGTCAAATTTAGTTGCATGTGCATGTCATACTTAGTCCAGTCCGTTGACATTTGGCGCCTGATTGCGTTAAGCCTATATCCTTTGCGATACCCGATTCTACGAGCTCTACGACATATACCAATAATAAATTCAAACAGCGTAAGTAACCTCTGCGGGTTGTTATCTCTTTCACTACTCAATATACAACAAATTCTAACATTTACCCAGATGGACTCCGAATATAGCCGTCTGGCTGACACAATCCGCCAACAAGCCAGCGAGCACTCAAAGCCACGCTATCTTGTCGCCATTGCCGGCGTCCCAGGCTCCGGCAAAACCACCACAGCTCAAGCAGTCGTCCAACAGCTAAACAAAGACCTGAATATACACGCAGCCCCCCTCCCAATGGACGGCTTCCACCTACCACGGTCCGCACTAGACCAACTCCCCAACGCTCAAGAAGCCTATATCCGACGCGGCGCACCCTGGACCTTCGATGTTAGCCGCTTCGTCAAATTTATGCATGACCTCCGAATCTGGTCTGATAAGACACCGCTAGCAGCGCCATCATCCCAAACCATCCATGCCCCCGGATTTGACCACGAGGCTAAAGACCCCGTCGAAGATAAGATAGTTATCACGCCCGATACGAATATCATTATCGTCGAGGGCAACTATCTCCTCCTCGACGAGCCTGGGTGGCGTGATCTTGCAGATTTAGTAGATTACCGTGTCTTTGTGGATACGGATTTACAGGAAGCAAGGGATCGGACGGCGAAGAGACATGTCTTGGCTGGCATTGAGAAAACGTTGGAAGATGGGTATCGAAGGGTTGATAGTAATGATTACTTGAATGGGGTATCAATTCGGGAGAAGTTGATAGGCCCGGATTTGGTGGTGAAGAGTGTGAGTGTGAATGTCAATGGAGCGGGTTAATGAAGTGGTCATGGATTTGAGCTATATGATTTATGATAAACGTTTTCATTCTTTGATTTCTTGTTTGTGGAACACGTCTACGTTTGTTAGATCATGCACTAGAAGCTTTGAGATAATTATGCTGAAAGGACTTACCGGGAATCTCTGGCATCCAACTCGCTCGAGCCTTGCAGAAGAATTCTCCCTTTGGTGGCAACATCTCGGGGTCATCGAGGGATCCCACACAGATATAGCGGAAGTGATCCTTCGCATTCTCCTGTCTCTTCTGTCACCAAGCATCCCAATAATCATTGACTGGTGAAGTCACTCACACCAAACTCAAGAATAAAACTTCCACAAGTATCACAGAAATGTCGATAAATTGCGACCCCGGATCCACTATCCGCTGCGTGTTCCTTTGGCTGTCCCTTGGTTAGATGGAACGCATCTTTAGCGACCTTGGCTGTGAGGCCATAATTTGTTCCAAATGCTTTCTGGCCATTCATAGGTCATAATTAGCATAGATACTAGTGTTAGGCGTTTGCGGTGCTAACTTTGCAGTTCTGGCAGTGACAAAGGGTTGTGCGAGCATCGTCTGCCGACTCCAGTCTCAACTCATATTCGATTTCGCGGCAAAAGCAAGATCCTTTCAAGACTGGCATGGTGGTATTGAAGTCAAATTTTGAGTTCACATGGATGTTCTTTCAGAAAATCAATGTGCTGTGTGAAGGGTATATAGATCTTGATAGACAGGTGAATGATATATGACGTCACTTGCAGTTCGTGGGTCTGGGGACAGGCAAAAGACTAGATAATACCGATCTTGGTTAAGGGAAAACAGGTTCAAAGATGAATGGACCTGGTAAATTGGGAAGTACTCGGGTTTTACCAAATGGAAAGAACAATAATTAAGATTATGTCTTAATTCAGGATATTGCAACGAGACTGTCCGGAATCTTCTGTCGCGCAACATGAAAGATAGGTACCACTAGGAAACAGAATTTGATCGTGTACAATATCAAACATGAAAAATAGTTAGTATTAAGCGAGATTTCATCAATATTTTGATCAATGTTAGGATATTCATATTTGCCAGTCGATTTGCCGCTACCCCGCGGTGATGCGATTATGACATGAGGCGATCGCCAACTCCCCAAACTCTCTTTTCTCCTGACACTCAACGAACACTCTAGCTTACCTTATTCGTTTAAACTCCTGATTTGCCGGCCAGAGTCATGTCGGAGTCTCACACAAAACTACAGCAGAAATCAGTTGTCTCGTCGTTCATCTTCTCCATTACGAGCGAAACCCCAAAGGTTGCCCTTTTTAAGCGCAGCGATAAGGTTAATACTTATCAGTATGTATTCACATTCTACCCCGTACCCCATGGTCAAATCTCAAACAGGAGACTGACTGGAAAAGACATCATCTCGCCCCCATCTCGGGGAGTATAGACCACCAGGAATCGCCTCTCACAGCCGCCTGGCGCGAGATCAACGAAGAAACCAGCTTGACACCACAAGATATCGAACTTTGGCGCCAAGGCAAGCCATACAGCTTCAGCGACCCATCAATAGGACGCCAATGGATCATCTATCCCTTTGCATTCCGACTCAAAGGTCGCGAAGAGGGTGGCAAAGGCGAAGCAGCCATTAAGATCGATTGGGAACACGAAGAATGGGAATGGTACGATCCAAAGGAAGTGGTGGATGATGAACACTTCGGGGGCGTACCCCGTCTAGCAGAGAGCTTGCGGCGAGTCTACTTCGAATTGGATATGAACGACAAGGCCAGAAGCGCACTACAGTCGGGTCTCGAGCTGCTCAAAACAGACCACTCGAGCGGTTCACATGAATTGACAACCCTCGCCCTCAAGGCGTTTCGGAATGTTCTCGTGCATTTGCAAGGGCACACAAATTGGTGGGAGACTACACGAATGGCTGCGTGGCACCTGTGGAAAAATGGGCGTGAGAGCATGGGATCGGCAACTCTCAACGCTTTCCTCGGTGTTCTGGCCGATATCGATAATATCAAGACGCGAAGGCCTGAAAATCAATGGGATCGTATTCTCACTGCGGTTGATCACCACTTGGAACGTCGTCGCGAGACGGCTTCGCATATTAACGAAGCATTTACTGCTTACTTGGATTCAGATTTCTTACCCAAGATTCAGTCACAGGGAAAGGATAAACTCACTCTTCTGACCCTGTCGGCGAGCTCAACTATTCGAGACAGTATCTTGGATGCCTTCAAATCACTACCTGTATCCCATTTGGATCTACGAATACTCGAGTCAAGACCTCTCTTCGAAGGGGCAAGCATGGCTTCTTCCTTGCTGTTGGAGTTTGAATGCAAATTTTCTCCTTCATCAGGCCAACATCTACAGATAAGCGTTCATACCGACGCTTCAGCTGCGCTTGCTGTCAAAGATGTGGACTTTGTCCTGCTAGGAGCGGATCGCATTTCCAGTTCAGGGTCCGTCAGCAACAAGACTGGGTCCCTTCCAGCTGTTCTTTGTGCCAAACACATAAGCCCAGAAGCAAAGGTGCTTGTCTTTAGTGGGTTGGAGAAAGTGGCAGAGCCTGGTACTGAAGATGACCACCAACCAGAGGAAAATAACCCAATAGAGGTCATCAATCCATGGGTGGACACGGGTGTGAAAGGCGTGGGAAAACTGCAGGAAAGACTTCGAGGCACAAAGAAAGAGACTTCCAATTGTGTTGTGGAAGTGAAGAATGTCTACTTCGAATGGGTGGATGCTAACCTGATCGATGCGTTCATCACGGAAGAAGGAGCGATGGGGGCAACTGATATTCACAACAAGGCCCAAGAAGTTCAACAGAAAGCAGACAAATACTTTGGCTCGTTATAGTGAAAGAAACAGAAGCCTTCTCAGTTCGCGACTTCCATTTTCGCGACATGAGGCCGACATCATACACGCTGTGAAAGTCATAATAAACACACCGAACACGTTATTTCCTTTCTTCACTTCTTCTACTCTCTTCCTCATTCTCAATCAAACAATCATCCCATCCAGTCTACCGCGATGTCATCCAGCTCCTTCGATCCCGGAGCCCATCGGTTCATGTCCCCAGCAACGGGCATGGGACTCGAGTATATCGTCCACCGTCCCGCTGGAGTCAGCAACGACAATGTCCGTCGCAATTTCATCACGGCCCAGTGCCCTGGATGGGGCCTAGGATCTGCCTATCTCCAACACGGTCTTTCCGACCTCTGGGCACCATCATCCAAAAGTGACAACGATACCGAATCCACAGTTTACACGGTCGTCTTCCTGCATCGCCGAGGCACAGGAGGCTCATCCCAACCCGTCGGGACCGGCAGGATGACCACCATGCCAGACATGGCCGCTGACATTGAGGAACTTCGCAAACACCTCGAAGTGGAACAGTTCCCCATCCTACTCGGTCACTCCAACGGCGGTGCGATCGCACTTGGATACGCAGAGTTTTTCCCAGACCGAGTCCAAAAACTGATCCTCGTCGACCACCAAATCATCGGCCTGCAAGACCGCAAGACCGAAAAGCTGGTCGCAACTAAGGACAACCCTGCATATCGCGGTGCTTGGGATAATTTCGTGAATCGACGTACCGATACGGACGACGAATTCACTGAGGCAGTGAACTCAATCTGGCCTCTGTATTTCTACGATCCGGCAAAGTACACGGACGAACTGTTGCACGCAATCGGGGACCAGGTTATGCCTGTGTGGACATATCGCTGGCAAGCCCATTGTGACCGACACCTCTTGAACCCAACGCAGATGGCTGATGGTCTGAAGTATGTGCGGGCTAAGACGTTGGTTATCTTCGGACAGGATGACATGATCGTTGGCCTGAAGATTGCTGTACGGACGATGGATATTCCCGGTGTAGAATTGATCACCTACAAGGATTGTGGACACTTTCCGTGGATTGAGCAAAAGGAACAGTTCATGAGGGATGTTCGGCGATTCATCGAAGGTCGCAAGAGCTGAGGAGAGAGAGGAGAGAGTCTCATACCACTCAAGCAGAGCAGGACACATATGCATATGTGCCCAATCATTGTTATCAAAACTGTTACTGTGCATTGAATAATCAGATTCATGATGTCCATACAAAAAAAGAAAAGTAAATGACACGCCAAAGTAGGGCTGAGCCTCACATCCCCAGACCCTGTAACCTCCAACAAGAGAAAAACAATAAAAAAAAGAAACCCAAACACCGAGGCAGACAGAGGACGGGATCATTAAAGACCTCTGCCTCCAGGAAAGATTGAAACTCGCAAACAGGTATATGCAAAGACGGAAAGAAGAGGTATCATGATATTCAAGAGTCGCGAACACGCGCCTGGCGCTTGGCGGTACCGATGTGGGTGTTGTGCACCTTCGTGGCGAACTTCAAGCTCGTCAAGGTCTCGGAAAGGTGCGCCTTCAATGGGCTGACCATGACGAACATGAGCGTCTTGGAGTTACCACCCAGGGAGAATTGGAGGAGGTAAGTCAGCTAGACACGAGTTAGCATTCACAAGTATTGATATGGCAAATTGTCAGATTAAGATGAAACAAACCTTGCTATTGCGGTATGGGATGTGTCCACCATCTTTGCCCTGGCCAAGAGCGGCAATCACATCACCTAGTGAGCTGAGACTGCGGTTGATATTTTGAGTTTCCTTCAGGCGCTCTCCCGTTGCACCACTGTGGCTTAGGCGCTCGCTTCCGGCCAAGTCGACCAGGTTGAGGGTGCCTTCACTGCGCTCCCCAGTGATGTGGTTGTCGCCGATCAGCTTCAGAATGAACACGGAGTGAGACCGCGAGGAGCGCTCATTAGCCTTGGTAGCAGCGACTGAACGGTTGGCAGCCGCACTCTTGAGAATCGACTCAACCATCTCCGGTGAATCCAGTCGGACAGTATTGATATCCGTGATAATGGTCTTGCCACGCTGCATGTCATGGCGGATTTCATGCTTCTTCTTGTCAAGTTCATCGGGATTGCCGAGCAGGTCGTTCAAGTTCTCGTTGTAGACCTCGACAAAGTTACCCTCCATCGTGTATCGCCAACCCTTCTCCTCCAGACTTTGAGCTGTCTCGTAGATTTGGTGCACAGCGAGAGGAATCATACCGTCCTGTGAGGACATGGTATGGGTCTTACCACTACCTGTCTGGCCGTAACAGAAGATGCACACATTGTAACCATCCAATGCACTCTGCACCAATTGGCTGATCTCATCAAAGACCTCATTGTTTTGCGCCGAGGGACCAAACACCCGATCAAAGGCGAAATTGTTGTTTTTGCGAGAGACTGTGCCTAGGCTGCTCTTCTCCTCGGGGCCCAAGATGTTAATCTCCTTGGCGTCTTCCAACTCGTCGGGATACTGCATCAGAGCAATGGCAGAGGAGGGTTCACTGAGTGGTGGTCGGACACGGCAGAAGACACGAATGTTGCCTTTGAGCTCCTGCACTTGATTGTGGAGTTTTCGGCGCAGCGTCTCTTCCCTGCGCAGTTTTTCTTTCGTCGCCTCGGTCTCGGCGAGCGCGTCCATCATTCTCTGGTTACATTGCTCAAAGGCTTGGGATTGTTCTTCTCGCCCGCCCTCCAAGAATTCGATACGGGCCTTCAAGGCGCGGATGGTCGACTCCAGAGTAACACTGTTGGTGCTGACAGTGTCCAAGTTATGTCGAAGGTCGTAGGTCATCTTTCGTTCGCGTTCCAATTCGGCCTTCATGCCCTGGATCTGAGCCAGTGCATCGTTGAGTTCACGAGTCTTGTTGACTAATTCAATTTCGGATTTTTGAATGTCCATTGCCGATTGCGATGTGAGTTGGCCTAGTTCTCGGATTCGCACGGCTTTTTCATCCGCGAGTTCGCTTTCGAATTTCCGTTTCAGGCTGCGAATTTCATCCTGGTGACGAGTATTCAACGCTTCGACGTCGTTTTTGCCCTGTTGTCTGATCGTTTCCAATTCTATTCGTTGGCGTCGGTCCAAGTCGTCCATGGCGATTTCCTGATCTCGCAGGGCTTCTTTCAGTGCGTCCTCTGCTGCGCTTAGTTGCTGGTTCAGTGATTCCATTTCGACCCGCAGCTTCATGTTAGTTTCGTTGAGTCCGTCACGGGAAGCCTCAAGCTCGTGGACTAAAGCTTTTCGTTAGAAAGAAAACGGCACTGGCAATATCAGGTCCACTCACTCCTAGCTTTGTATACCTCCACAGCCTCTTTCAGGCCTTGGCTTTCCTGCCCAGACTGGTTGACGCGCGAGAAGACACGGGCCATGATTTCCTCCATCGTCTTCTCCTTCATCTCTTGGTCCCATTCAGAATCTAGAAGATGGTTAAAATTGGTTACTATGGATTTCTTGGAAAGAAACGATGAAGTGGGAGCCCTTTTGGACTTTCTGTGAGGGGACACGGAGGACGGTCGGGTGGGCTTGGATGGGGTAAGAATGGGAACTTTGGACCGCTGGCCAGGTCTCGCCGGTGTAGAGTCCTTGTGATCAGCATCACTTGGATTCCTTTGGGTAGGTAGTGCATGATCAATGGGTGGGGGATGCATCCTTTGAACCTCGAGCCTTGAGAGGTTACTTTCCAGGCCAGAGGTTGACACTGAACGAGACCCTTCGGAGTGGGAGGTACGCAGTGGCAAATTCAGGGATCCATTGGGGCAGGAAATACTGCGAGTGGAGGAGAAGATAGATGGTGGCATACCCTTGCGTTTTCCGAGTACACTTCCTGTGTTATCATCCGGGTGGAGATCTAACGAAGTAGCGGGGCGCGACATGGACATCGAGGAACCGTTGAGTTTGCGAGTACCGAGGGATGTCTGCGGGCGAGACATAGCGGATGCAGGGCGCGCACCGTACCCCATGGTGTTCGAGAAGGTACCGTTATTCGGTCGGGTGGTGGTCGAACCGGTTCGCGACGTCGTGGAGGATGCGTAGGAGTTGCCGCGAGTGCGCGCGTGGGGTGCGCCGACCATTGAGCGTGTCAGAGGCGGCTGTCTTTTCGTTTCGGCAACGCTGGGTGGCTTCGTTCGAGTCGCTATATAGCAATGTCAGCGTATCGCGCAGTTTTGGCCTCGGGAAGCGCAAGAAGGGCTTGTACGGGAAATGGCTTTGTTCGCAATGGTTCCTGGCGGTAGGATACCAGACATGCCAGACCGAGCATTCGTTGTCGCAGAATTCATCTCTCGAAGGCCAGCTTGGGGGATGCGCGACCGAGTCGACGCTCGAGGCTGCATCTCCAACGGGAGTCAGTAAACAGAGCTGCGACGAGATCTGGGCGGGGTTGTTTACCATGTTCTCCTCGTCCATCGTGTGGGTAGTAGCTCGCCAGGTCACCGGCGAGTATAATATCCGGGCGAGAAGGGAGAACTCTCGTCCAGCCACGGTCTCTGCTGTTCAATTGACGATATGGCGGTCCAAGGTGAAGGTGCAAAAGGTGAGCATGCCAGCGGAGAGTATCGAAGCTCCGGTTTCTGGAGAGACGACGGGTAAACAAACGCTGAGTCAGCTGATCTGGCGTTGCCAATTTGGGACTAGTTCATAAGCGGTTAGGTCACGTGATACAGCCTCCGATACCACACGTGAGCCAATTGCGATCAAAACAAATATGGTGCGTTGTCCGTGGGGTAAGTCAAACAAACCTCTGAATCGAGTCAATTTCAATTCATCTTTTCGCAATTATCCAATTTTTGAAAAAGTGTCCAAAAGTGACGACATCCCATTGTTGTAGGTGGCAGCCATTTGAAGCATCCCAGTTGCAGCGCGGACTCCACTCGGCCCGCTCGAAACACCCCAAAGGCCCCAGTTCCCGCATTCCCTGGTTGTTCGCGGGCAAATTGGCTGGGTCTTCTCTTTCACCTTCACTCCCTAGTTCTTTGTAATCCTTTTCGGTCTCTTGCGGTCCTCGGCATCGATCATGTCTGGCCGGTTTGTGCGTTCCTCGAAGTATCGTAAGTATACTGTGATCTGCATCCTAATAGCGTCCCCGCTGACCGTTGCGAAACTGGCAAGGCCACGTCTTCGGGCGTTCGACGAGAAAGGTACTCCTGAAACCCCGTTCCTTCTCGGGCACGACCACAATACTAACACCCTTTCCAGGAGCAATGCTATGACAACCTTCGAATCTCGCGAAATGCGTGGGACACCAACCTGATCAAGGTGCGTCGCTCTCATCCCATGCCACCCCCCTGACCTTTCGCCGCAACACTCCTCGATCTGACAGATTACGAAATAGGTTAACCCGAAGCATCTTGCCGTCAATTGGGAAGCTGGTGGTGGTGGTGCTTTCGCCGTTGTTCCTCTCGAGGAACGAGGCAAGCTGCCAGAGCGCATCCCTCTGTTCCGTGGCCATACCGCAGTGGTTCTCGACACCGACTGGTGAGGGATATGCATTCGGTGTATTGAACTCATAAAACTGACTTGTTCCACTCAACAGGAACCCTTTCGACGATGATTTGATTGCCTCTGGTTCCGACGACGGAAAGGTATATTTTCTCATGACGATCGCGGGGAACTGCAGCTGACCAAGTACCAGGTCTTCCTCTGGCGGGTTCCGGAGAACTTCACTGTCCGTCCTGATGCCGATGCGGACGACATTCAAGACATTGTTCCCGTTGGAAAGCTCGCCGGTCACCCGAAGTACGAAATCCCCGCCCAACTTTGCGACATTGCGGCGCACTACTAATACCTTTGTTTTACCCCCTGCAGGAAGGTCGGCCACGTGCTCTTCAACCCCGCGGCGGAAAACGTGCTGGCAACGGCTTCGGGAGACTACACGGTGAAGATTTGGGATATTGAGGCTGGTGCGGCGAAGCTCACGCTGGATGTTGGTGACATTGTTCAGTCCCAGGCGTGGAGCGCCAATGGCTCTCTGCTGGTGACAACTTCCCGCGACAAGAAGCTGCGCATCTGGGATGTCCGTCAGGAACGGCCCGCGCATGAGACCAATGGCCACTCGGGAGCCAAGAACAGTCGTACTGTCTGGCTGGGCGAGCGCGACCGGATCGCGACCACCGGTTTCTCAAAGATGAGTGATCGCCAGCTGGCTCTCTGGGATATTCGCGCCGTCCGGGAACCGATCAATGGTTTCAAGACCCTGGACTCGATCTCTGGTGTCTGCATGCCCTTCTGGGATGACGGTACCAGCTGTCTTTACCTGGCTGGACGAGGGTGAGTGTTTTACTGCTATACTTCCTCCTTCAGTTGCTGACGGTTTCCTGTAGCGACGGAAACATTCGTTACTTCGAATTGGAAAACGATAAGTTCGAGTTCCTTTCCGAGTACAAATCCGCCGACCCCCAGCGTGGTGTCGCATTCATGCCCAAGCGCGGTGTCAACATGCACGAGAACGAGGTGACTCGCGCCTTCAAGACCGTCAACGACGGTTACATCGAGCCCGTCTCTTTCATCGTCCCTCGTCGGTCGGAGAACTTCCAGGATGATATCTACCCGCCCACATTCGGTCTTACTCCCGCCATGAGCCCCTCCGAGTGGTTTGCAGGCAAGGAGGCCATTCCTCCTAAGATTTCCATGGCCAGCCTCTTCGATGGTGAGGGCCTGAAGGAAGTTTCTGGTGTCCAGGAAAAGCCCACCGGTACTATTGATGCCCCTACTCCTAAGCCCGCTCAGCCCGAGCCCGTTGTTCCCAAGGTTGCCCCCAAGGCTGCTCCAGAGCCTGCGCCTGAGCCGGCCCCCGTCGCTCGTCCTGCTCCGTCCATTAAGGAGCAGGGTGCCTCAATGGCCGCCATGGTCAACAAGTTCGCCGACGATGAGGAAGTTGAGGAGCCTGCGGATGATGACTCCAGCTTTGAGGAGGTCCCCAAGCCCATCGAGCGCCCTGCTCGCTCGCCTGTTGCTGAGTCTGCTTCTCCACGAGTCAGCAGCCCGCTGCAACCAAAGGAGCCTGAGCCCGAGGTCAAGCCGCAATCTCCTGTTGCTGTAAGTGATCATTCTGCCTCAAATTTTCTCTTTTCCCAGGCCAAATATTAATTGCCCGTCCGTAGACTGCCACCGCTTCCTCGCCTGTGAGCGAGTCCACCGCCCCAGCCAGCCACAAGGAAATCGAAGAGATTAAGAACCTGATCGCTCAGCAAACCAAGATCATTGCCGACCAGGCCTCGCATATCCAGAAGCTGACATCCGAGGTTGAAGCTCTGAAGAGCAAGCTGAACTGAAGCAGGTAAAACTGTGAGATGTGACTAAATATGTGCGAATGGGGAGGTTCTAATGTCCATTTGGTGCTTGGACATAGTGAAGATAGGTTTGGGCGTCGATACCTAAACATACATGCATGTGTACATGCTCAGTGTCTCGGTGGAGATGACAAGGATGGATACGCTACGGCCTGTGGATAGGTAGTCTTGTTTTTTTAGCGGATTTGTCAATACATCGGTTGCCAAAAGCAGATCTTGTCGAGCTTTTTGTAAGATTTTCTTTTATCTTGTGTAATTCCATGGATACCCCGGTGTGTAGACACGGTGCACTGGTTGGTCGAAGACAGGAGGAAGCCAAGGAGATATACAGGCACCCGTTCGGTTGGCAAGATATATATGTGAGTACCGGTGGGTTTCAGCTAAGGATCGTTTACAAGGAATCTGTTCCATTGACTTGGATTTTCCATGAAACATATCTTGGAGGATAAATCTTGTTGAGCATCTAACCTGCAATCCATTAGGCCACAAAGAATGCCAACATCTTGCTGGTACTTACTCTCTACCTTGTTGGAGGTTCACGTGACCACTATGGCTATTTGCCAGGACTTAGGGTCACGTGCTAGTGAGGTCTAGACCACAGAGACTGTCCAGCTCCCTAACTGATGTTGAAGGAATCAAGTCTTCATCAGCAACTGCATTATTCGTAACTACTGTATGTGGTCGCTCGAGCCATCCACCAGAGTCCGTCTTCTTCTACCTACTTACACTTGGATCGGCGATGCAGCCGGGCACTACGGGGACCATTCTGCATTGGACTCGGGCTGTCGGCCAGACTTTGGTCCCCACAATCCGAATTAAGGTTGACTGACATTAGGAGGTTGCAGCCCGATGGCGAGCTCAACATGCACATTTCCACATTTCCGGGGCGGTGCCCCGGGATTGATTGGCGATCAGGGGACTGGATCGCCATATGATTCTACACCATATCTCCTTGAATACCTGGTACTCCGGTATAAAACCCAGCGTTGTGCCCTTGACTTAGAAAACACAGATGTATCTCTTCTTCACGCAATAGTCTTATCCTGAGCTATACTTGCCACCCACATCCCAACATGGAGCCAATTGTACATCCAATCTTCGAAAAAGATACCGGAACATGGCAGTATATTGTAGCCTGCCCGAATACTCGCCAAGCAGTCATCATCGACCCGGTTCTCAACCTGAATCTATCCGAATGCAAGATCGAAACCACCTCCGCCGACGAGCTCCTAGCCGTGGTAGAAGCCAACAATTACACCATCGTACGACACCTCGAAACACACGCCCATGCAGACCACCTTACGGCTTCATTCTACCTCCAACAACAATTGCTCGCCACAAAGCAACCCAAAGCCCCCATCAGCACGGGCCGGCGCATCCGACAGGTCCAGGAGACATTCGCTGCCAGATACGGAGTCCCAAGAGCGGAATTAGACCAAGCCTTTGACTACCTTTTTGACGATGATGAGACATTCAGCGTGGGCGATATCACCGCTCAAGTCCTTCATTTACCCGGGCACACACCCGATCACAGTGGGTACAAAATCGGCAGCAACGTCTTCACAGGCGATTCCATCTTCAACCCCGACGTCGGCAGTGCCCGATGTGATTTTCCCAACGGGGACGCAAATGCCCTGTACAACTCCATGCAGATATTACTAATTCTGCCACCTCACTACAAGCTGTATACGGGACACGATTATCCTCCCACTGATTCAGGCCGTGAGCCACTCCCCTTCGTAACGGTGGCAGATCAACTGGAAGGCAACAAACATGTGAAGCAAGGGACTAGTGAAGAGGAGTTTGTCGACTGGCGACGGAAACGTGATTCGAGTTTGAATGAGCCGCGACTTTTGCATCCGGCGTTGCAGGTTAATATTCGAGGGGGTCGGTTACCGGCGAGTCCGGATGGAACGCAGAGGACGTTTCTTCAGGTGCCTTTTCATATCTCTGAGTTTTGATGAGTTGCAGGGGCAGCACTTTGAGTCGAGAATTTAGTTGGCCGAGTCTAGGACTGTTACCTATAGAATTTGTTGATCAATGCATGCGAAGTGGAAGTTTCCCACGTTATCTATTTCTCTATCCAATATTTTCCCTGAGATCTACCATGGATCGGAACATTTGCCTAAATGGATATTATGGACACCATTATAGAACTATACTAAGCTTGCCCAAAGTTCTTAAAATAACTCAACTCGTTTAAATTCGAAAAAAAGACAGCGTAAAAAGATCCATGTCTTCAAACTCCAAGCCAAAAACAATCTTCGAATCAAGACTCTATGTACATTCCCTCAAAAGTATTACTCATTGACCATCATACCCTCCTTATCAGCCCTTTTGCTCCACTCACTCCAACTCCCATCATAAAGCCTCGTGCTAATATTCAACCCACTCGCACTCAATGCCAAATCCAATCCCGCCGCAGTAACACCCGTATTGCAATACAACACAGTCGGCACATCCGCTCTCACACCAGCTCGATTAAAAAGCTCCGTAAGCTCAGCCGGCGATAACACCTTCTTATCCGATCCCAACAGAGAAGAGAAAGGTACATTGATAGCGGACGGGATATGGCCCACCGGCAGAGCCGAGGGCTCTGTATCGGGGGGACCGGAGAAGCGGGCGCTGGGTCTCGAGTCGATGATTTGGTATTTTTGTGCTTGAGCGGGCTCGGCGATGATATCGCGCAATTCTTCGAAGGAAATGACATTCCTCGCGATGGACACAGTTTGTTCCGGATATGTCGCTTCTGTCGTGGTGTTTGTAGGCATTGATACCTTGCCTGTAGCAACGGGGAACCGCTCTTCGACATAACGGGGAAAAGTATTCAAGACGTGAACGGCCTTGTGCCCGAAATGCTGACACATCCATGCAACTCGTGGCGATGAGTAGAATCCTGGCTCCATTGGGTCATAGATGACTAGGACATCATTGGGTGTGATTTGGAGTTCTGTCATGTAGCTCGCAAATTGGGATGGCGTGGGTAGCATCATTGGATACCGGGAGTTGGTGTCTCTGATTATATCCATATTGAGGAATCTGATCAGAACGTTAGGATGAAATCATCACTTGATTAGAGGTTGGTGTACCTACACAGAACCTGGTATATGTTGTGATTCAAAGGATTGCAGTGACGAGTTTCTCCCCGCAATAAGGGGAATCACCCGAACAGCACTTGAAGTATCCGACAAGGCATCGTGCAATTCCGCTGGCGAGATGAAGAGCGACGAGAACGGGGTGGATGAACCCATGGTGATTTCGGGGATATGTTGATCGTGTATCTAAGCAGACTACTCTGGGCGAGATCGGTGATCAATACATCAAAAGTACAGTTCCCCGGAGCCCAAAGAATTCGGCGATTATTTGTGGGCCCGCGAATCGCCGTTTAACGGACCTCATGAAAGGGGACCCACTTGGTCGCCGCGCCACGATGAGATTTACATACATCGAACAAGAGCAAGAGTAGAAATTAAGTCTGTAATGCATTCTTCTGATACCAAGGCCAATACACCGTGGCAATCCATCGGACCAGATACTTCCATGCCCACACCACCTTGTACACATCCACGATGTCTTTAGTCGACCCAATTGACTGCTCTGACCACAGATAGATAGCCTTAGAAGGGGAATATAGACCATAATATACTATGCTGCCTCAGACGGCTTATTAGCCACGCATGCCGCAGCATCCCGAACAAAGCGAGTGCAGTCAGAGGGCAACACCATCGGTCCAGGTAGATCAGAACCACCATACATGTGGGCAGGGATGTCACAGCCACCGAGCTTGTTGATTTTGTTGCGAAGAATAATGGGTATAACGCTAAGTCCTTTGTTACAGTGTTCAAGCGGCCGTAGGAACCTCGAAAGGTCAGGCGGCAAATCATCTTTCGAGTTTGTGAAACCCTTTGTCTCGATACCGTCGGGGTATGATTCCATAAGTGCCGTTTGCTTCGTAGGTGAGACTGGACTTGAGATTTGTGACTGCCCTGATTGTGTGAATGAGGGCGGCGATGTGGACGGAGACGATTGTTCGCGACCGAGACGATAATCCTCCTTGTACACTGTTCCCCATCAGCGTCGAGTCGGGGTAAACAGGAACACCTTCTGCTATGTCGCGCTCTCCCACCCTGTGTTTTTTTTGGGGGGTTTCCTGCGGTATGGTCCGCGCTCTTCTGCGTGACTTTGGCAGGGTTGCCGGGGAACGATTCAAGCCGGGATATCCAGCGAAGGATGTCTTTTTGATTCATACCGGTATATGCTCTCCCTTGATTGACGGTCTTGGTGTGGCGGTCCTGCTGTGGGCTGAAATGGGGCTTTGGTCGAGGCAGTAAAACGGAAATAGACGGTCGAGGATGTTGCGGCGGAAGACAGCGGAGTGAATCTGCGCAATTGTCTAGGGTTATTATTTTGATTTCAATTATAACTAGTCAAGGTTCAATGATGACTTGAGGTCACTCATTCTATCCATCAAGCCCCGTGGAGTTATATTTTAGCTCCGTTTCTATTTTGCGACGCAGATTAATATTAATACATGGAGATATCTCTAGCTTCCAAAATCATGAGCTCAAAACCGCCTTTACGCAATGCAATGATCAAGCAAAATTCCCGTCCTGTCCAGATAAGACCCAAGATCACAGAAACGACACGCCGCAAGTTGGATCAATAAACTCCGAGAGAAGCCTGGAGGAAAACTGATCATTGATGGAATCATCATCCATGGGGAGGTACATGGCAGTCTCATCGAGACTCGCACTAGCTCGAGGATCACCCTGTGGCTGGGTAGGTTTCCTCTCAAACGGCGAGTATTCCGACGAAGAAGTCACCACTTGCGCAGCTGCACTCCTCAAATGAGCATGAGCCGTTTGTGCTAAAGACCACTTTGCCCGCAACAACTTGAGACAGCCGAGAACGAGAACGATTCGATTTTGATGATGATCCGCACATACTGGTCCATGGATCTCGGTGGCTGCCAGCTGAACTAGGCCGCATAATGTCGCGATAAAAACGATCGTAGGACTATACCCCCGGGCATCCGAGCGGACGGCAAGTAGATTGGAGAAATTCTTGGAAGCTTCCATGGTTTTGACATCGTGGACATGGCGTGTCAGGGAAGGGGAGAGACGGAATGGCGTTACAGGACAGATGGAAAACATCGAGTCCGGGAATCGGGGCCGGATATTACTGCGTGGCAAATGGAGAAGCATGGCCGCGTATTGTATTGTGCAATGAGCCTGGAATAGCATCTCATCGATGGTCCCGTACATATCCACGATCTCAATCTTCTCAGGTGGAAGGTGGTGGCTCCAACTCACGATCGTGTTTGCCACGGCTTGCAAGTGATCGTGATGTGTCTCGGGTAGGCCGTTGAGGATGACGACCCGGGCTAGAATACGAGCCGCTTCAATGCAATAGGCGAATGAGGAGAAGTAACTTGTATTCTCATCCTCAGTGTAGACTCGCGATCTGAAGGCAGCGAGGGACTGGGGCGGTGGTATCGTCTCGAGAGAGGAGTAAGTTGACTCTTCGCAGGGCAGTTGAACATCGGAGTAAGCATCACTGCATCTGAGATGCATCTTCTCACGTAATGTTCCTCCGTAAATCTCCCAGATGAACAGGCTCCACCATGTACGCCGCAAGCTTTCCGCCTCGTGGTCTCTCCCTGGCGCGGCTGTAATCACAAACTCCTCTCGGTGCATCCCCAGCTCCAGCGCAATGTCGACTGCTTGCGTCAAGGATGACTCGGCTTGGGAAGTCTCATTGCGGGCGCGCATGATAATTGAGTATAATAGCAGCGCCTGCGACATATGAGGTGTTCGTTCCGCCGTGCCGTTGAGCATGAGCCATGTCGATTCTTGCAAGGTATCATTATCGAGGATTACGGAGTAGTGGCTGCCGATAAACTTGACCACCTGCTGCAGATACCGGGGGTATTCCCACCTCTCAAACAGCGGTGCCGGGACGAGGATGGGATGTGCGGCATGAAAGTTCTCGTAATAAAGGCGCACCAGCCGAGCTTCCGGTACGATGGATTCGGGTGTATTATCTTGAACTGCCAGTGTCTCTGCATTATCTGCGCCCGGGAGATGGGGAATAGTACCTCCGTTTCGTGCCTGATCGCCCAATAGGTTTGCTGTAGGGAATTGACTCTTTGCGCTTGCGACGAGCTTCGCGACAGGCATTGCGGGCGAGATCTTCCTCCGTCTACCGCCTCGACGAGATGGGAGGAAGATGCAATTGATCTGAGCGGCCGCGCATCGCGAGCAGGTCGGCCTGCGGGCGTCACACTTGATGTGATGTTTGCGACATTCGACACAGGCGAGTGACGAGGGGCGTGATTTAGTAGAGGTGAAAGTGGAGGGAGATGGTGGAGTCCGCATGACGCCAGACCCTTGAATTGGGGGGTCGGAGCGATCAATGGTCAATGGATTGAGTCAGAGATAGACGTAGATCTCACGTTAACAACGCAGAGGTTAAATCAACAGATGTATTTTGAGAAGCTGGAATTTGAGAAGTATAACGGAAAAAGAAGCGTCGTCATCGGGGACCACTTAATCACTGGTGGCGCTCTAAGCTATGCAGGGTATCGGGGTTGATAGCGGCCACCAACTCGATGCCTGATTTTGCAGGCAGAAAGACCGACAGAATCCTGGAATCGATTCCATCCAACTACGGTACTGTACTATAAGGGGAGGGCGGTCTCCTAAGCGGTCAACGGGATACTGGAGATCCCCGAATCATGCGGCGATATGGGGTCCTTCTCGGCGACCCACTTACTCTTTATAACTTAGGTTGACATGATTACCTACTGTAGTAATATAAGACACGAAGACCATGGCATGAATTGTAGGCTTTCATGATATATACAATAGCTAGATGCTCAGCATTTAGTGATTTGTAATAGCATCACACCCTCAGGCTCTTCGAATAGAATGCTTCGCTGAAAAGAAAATAACACGGTTGACGCCATTTGTTTGCCATGGGAGGCTAAGTAGGATTTCCACCTTCCAAATTTCAACAGGACCACCGCGGTAACCTAGTGGTAAATCACCATGTTATCGTGCCCCTCCGGCAGGGGGAGTGGGTTCGGACCTGAGTGGTATTAATGCCTCGCGTAATTGATATATTTCGCTCTATGGGCGGAGTCGGTGTTTGACGCAGTCGCGGCCCGGTGTTTCGAGGGGGTCTTCTTTTTTTTTTTTCTTTTTTCAGGAATAAGGATAATGATTAGAATAATTCTACATTAAGTGTATGGATATAATAGGTAGCTGGGAAGATACACATTTCTATTTCCTAAATGTTATGTCGAATTGTTTGCCACTTTAGTTTCTGAAGAAATCCCTTAACTATAAAGTAACCCCCTAACGCGGATCTTCAATCCTTCCATACAACCATAAGAGGAAACCCTGCTACCCCGTCGAAGGCCTGCTAGCCATGCCGCACCAAAAGACGTAAGGTAGGCCTTGAGCCCTAGCGACATTCCTGCAGAGTATTTCACGTATCTTATACTTTTGAATAGTGTGATATGATGCGACCAAGATGTTCGCAATGTCGAAGAGCGATTAAAAAGAACTACCTGATACTAGACATTACTAATTTGGAGCTTCCTAGACAAGAATTTCTTTATCAGATTATGCTGAGGTCCACGGGTTGTACAGGTGAGTGTCCAATTCTATTCTCATACACATCGTGCGTTGTTCACCAGAGAAAAAAGAACTTGATCGTTACTAAGGATGGTATGTACATCGTTAAACCTGGTAGCCAGCCACATGGCCACCATACTTTTCTGGTTTAGTTCTACTCCTGTCCCAGTTTCAGAATCTTCTTTGGGCTCCATAATCGCCGATCATGCCTCTCTGTCACCTCATCATCAATAATGATTTGAGCAAAATGTGAAGCTGAAATGAGTGCATTATGAATGCGCAGCGACAATCTTCTCGTCAAGGTCCCCCTTTTTTGCTAGGTCCCACCATGTGAAAAGTGCGCAAGCAGTAGACCAGCTCGCGAGTTCCTTCGGCAGATAATCAAAGACAGAACTGTCCAGACAATTGCTATCACTTGGCCGGTCAATCAACCCAATTAGATGTAGTCGCCAGTCATCCCATATCGGGATCCCAAGGCGTCGAAAGACTCGTAAATCCCCAGATTGCAGAGGAGGTCTCGGAGGCCAATGAACGCGTAGAAGTTGGCGATACGTGCCTATAGCGCCATTTTGTCTTCCGGCGAGTCGATAAATCTTTTCCCAATCTTTATCCACGGCTTGATTCCTTTCAGGGGGGTTGGGTATGATCAAACGAGCGGGTGAGTGTAGGAACGAAGGAATGGTCACCATAAAAGGGAAACGGTGATCTAGGGCTATTGCCTCGCTAGGATTAAGAATGCACAAGCATTCTGCGATCGTTTTGAGTTGCTCGGGACGCCATGTCAGTCCCACTCGGGTATATCGCTCGATGAAAGAGTCTTTGTCCTCCAGAGACCAGTCCCATCGCGTGTTTGCCGCGTGCAAAACGCAACTGAATATCGCAAGCGCCCATAGAATGCGATGTGTTCGATATGTTTCAGCCCAGGAAGGAGGATGGTATCTGATCCGGATGGGTTCGCTTTGAACCTCGGATAAACTTCCCTCTATCCATTCAACAGCACTAGGAGAGCCAACCACACGGCGGGGCTCTGCAGCCATAAGACGATCCATCATAACATGAAGACAAGCCGAAGCAGCGTAACAGATATTTCCCGCTATACTAACGGCTTTTCGCACGGCTCGCAACGAATGGTCAGCAGGGACAGAAAGCGGCACATCAGATGGTGTGTTAATGCTATCTAGTACCACTGGGAGGCTCGAGAGAGTAAATGAAGTTTTCTCTAATTCGAGCAGTATGATCATGCGAAATTCGTACTGTAGCCCATGGGAAAGGATCAGGCAATTCTTCATGACCCGCTCAGTGATGGTCTTGTAGTATTTGCCGAACACTTGATCGGCTCGGGCGGACGTTCTGAGTAAGCCATCTAAGCTGGCAAAGTCGGTACAAAACTCAAGGATGGACAGTATTACCTCGGGTGGGAATATTGAGAAAGGATCCATAGTGACTCGGAGATGAAAATCAGCAAGAGGGGTGTCTGTGTGAGCGGTTGCGGAGAAAGCGGGAGAGTTGAGGGCCGATTGGAAACCAATTGGAACTCTTGGCCTTCGCAGGATAAGACCCGTCTGGTACCCTATTATTATTAGCACTTGACTTGTTAGACAATAATGACATGGAGGATAACTTGATGAATTAGGCTCGTCAAAACTGTTAGATAGCTAAAGATCAACACACCAGCCAGAATTGGCAGTTGATTTTGGCTTAGGCTAATCGTACGACAATTTGTACTTGCGCACGACGGGGCACACGATACCGCCTAAAGTACACCTGGATCCTTAACACCCAGATTAGAGAAGTGGTCTTACTTCCTAGAGCGGATGTAAATCTTGTAACTTTCTCTTTTGGAAAGACCTTCCTAGACGTCTTTTGGATCGACTTTCTTGATAGCTCAGGTTTTTTTATGGTCTGTCGTTCAAAGTCGTGACAGATAAAACGATTCTTAAAACATCCATACTAGGGGTTCCTACCATAGAATCTTTATGTATCTTTAATAAAAGGCTTTACTCGATGTACCTGTGATTCACAACCTGGAAAGCACAAGTTGTCGTGCGAGTAGCCTCGCCTAGCTATAAGCGAAGGTCGACTATGACAATCATCAGATCTCCGAGAGGGAGGCATGTCGAACCAGATATCTCTACCACCAGTTCCAGGGATATCCAGGGGAATAAGCAATCTCAAAATACTTTGAATGATGACGACTAATATAGTCGATCGGATTGGCTCATTAGTAAATCCCACTTATGCAGTCTAATTCGGTCTCGGTGCCTCTTGGCACGTGGTTCGGCTAGTGTCACTGTAATATTGGGACCTGGGATTTACTGGGTGTAGTTAGTTTTGCCGTTCCCGGCCTAGCGCCCCAATACACTGTCATGTAACCTCTCCCTCCGTTGCTCCAACATAAAAGACAAGCCTGCCCTCTCGACCTCTTGTTCCCTCTCTCTCCTCCCTTCAACTCCTCTATCTTGCACCCATCGCCGCCCCTTTTCTTCCATTCCGGCCCCCACCGACTATTGCGCCTTGGCTTTCAGCCCGACGCACTGCCCCTTTCATTTTACCGGAGTTACCGCTCGATCTGACGCTCAGTATATTTCCCCTAGTAGAATGAATCAGTCGCCGGGGAGCAGAACTACTGGGAGGATAATCCAGCCCGTAGCCACAGTTGTATGATTTACGTCGAGCTTCCTACTTCTTGCCTAAGAGTATGAATTTCCTCTATGCTAGGAAGCTATCTATAGTGCGCCTCGCTGGTCTCTGCGCCCGCTACCCTCCTTCGTATCTGCAATGTGCTAGTATACCTTCGATATCGTTGGTCTCTCCGGTTCGTCTATACCTAGTAGATAAATCCTCGAAAGCCTCGCCTAGGCATTTAGGCAATAGCGAAAATACTGTATACGCCCCTAACCTCGGCCGATGCTACATTATACAGCTAACTATAGACTAAGACCGGAAACGAAACTAATTTATCCACGGAATTAAGAACGTACTAATAACAGTTGATAAATAAGGGTATATATCGAAAGGACTATCTGCGAGGGTAGCGGATAACTTTTTTAGTAAATTGTTACTCGTTATTGTAGGGTGTGAAACTGGTAAGTCCTCACGTCCTTAGATGCAATAGCGTAGATTGCAGGATCTAGTCAAGATTATCTACTCTTAGTGGAATCTACCTCGCGGGCTTCTGCTGTCAACAAAAGAGACTGTAATATTATTATAACAGCAAAAGTGGAATTCGAGTTATATTTAAACTCTCCTCTTGACCTGTCTTACGTCCTCTGCTAGTCTTCTTGTTTTCTGAGTGCGTACAGACTAGACTGCGGCACTAACCGCAAAGACCATGGTTAACCGCAACCATATCCAAACCCATTTGGATTTGGTCTTCGGATCAAGACCGCAAATTTTTGCGGTTTGGTTGCGGTCTTCAACTCAAGACCGCAATGCGGTTTTGGTTAACCAATGGTTAGATAAACATAGCAAACAGGCTAAGCCTCGTGACCTTTTGGTCAGATGATTTTTTATGCAGTCTTTTCGGTATTTTTCTAGTATCTAGTCAGTATAGAGTATCTTACCAAAATCAACCTTTCTTTTGTAAATAATTCATTTAATATAATAGTGCACTCCTTTGATTTTTTTATACACTCATGGGGTTCCAATTTCAAATCCTTCTGGCATCCTAGTCTTCTTCCGTACTCGACTAGGTCGTTGTGTATTCTCCAGATCAGCCGGTTCAGGTATGACTTCATTCTCCTGGGATTGAGTGCTTCTACTCCGAGGCCTTTTAGTTCTAGTATTTTCACCCCGAGCCTGAGGCTGTAGTGGCTGAGAGGGGATCTTAGTTACTATATCTTCATCTTCGGCCTCCTCACTATCACTGATAGGATCTAGAGAAGGGAGAGGTGGTAGTGAGCCTCTCTCCTGTTCAAGAAGAGCTAACTCTCCAACTGAAATAAGCTGTTTAGTGAAATTAATCTCCTTCTGTTCAACCTCGAATTTTGTTGCACACATATAAAGCATCAGCGCTTTGACTGTCTCCTGTTTTAATTGCCCACGTCGATAATAACAGATATCACGCGCGCAATTAAACAGACGCTCTACACCAGCACCACTAGCAGGAATCGAGAGGATGTCCCGTGCAAGGGCTGCAAGAATTGGAAACTCTTGTTAGTGCTCCTTCCAGAACATACGAGGATGTTGAGATATCAGTCCTAGCTTATTAGTTTTAATTACTCGAAGTTTCTTTGTAGAAAGGTAGGGGCTCACCTTTAGCAAGATAGCGATCAAGCTCGTCATCATTGTTCCCTTGGGGCTCTTCCGGTTGGAGAGTATTCTAGGAGTCACAAAGTATCTCAATCTCATCCACAGTATTAAGTGAACCAGTCAAAGCCCTAGGTGATAGCGGGCTATTATTATCTGAAGGCCGTCTCTTATAACGGTAGAATTCCTCTTCCAATCGACCACGATATCGTCTAGCGTAGTCAACATCACCTTGCCAATCCTTAGTTTTAAAGAAGCGAAGCTTCTTCGAAGGTGCCAGGATTGTTGCAATTGCGTAAATATCACCGTAGCACTCATAGTCAGTCATCTTATAGTACTCTGAGAGCTTTTCCCTTGCTGCTTGAAGTGCTTGAAGCATAGTTTGCTTCCAGGGAATCTTCTTCCGGCGAAGCTGCTCTTCAGAGGCCTCAAGGTGACTGAAGAGCTTATTGTAGATGCTAAAGATGAGATGAATAGTGATATCCTTTGACTTTGAAAGAGCGGTAGTGAATTTGAAGAACGGCTAAGTGATACAAAGTAGGTAGTCGACCTGGCGCCACTCCTCTTTGTCAAGTTGGAATTGGGGGTATCTATAGGTTTGACAGTATCGTTTGAAGTTCTCCTGTAGTCGCTTTGTACGGCCGAGCATTAGAAAGGTAGAATTCCATCGTGTACGGACATCCTGAATAGGGAGTAGATAAGGCTCTTCGGTCTGAAGGCCTAAAAAGGCTTCGCGGCGCTGTGGGCTTCCATTGATAAAGATAGCAAGGTTCCGAATCTACACATAGAGTGAGAGGTTAGTGATCTTGTTGTAAAAGAGATGAAGGAAGAGTTACCTTGTTCAGAGTATCAACTATCTCTCTGTTTGTGCGCTTAGGATATGTTGAGTATGCACGCTCATCCGACCACTCAATCTCAGTCTCATCATTAATAGGTACTGCCTTTATTTTACCCAGTAATTGATTAAGACTCAGCTGAATCACATAGGCGAGACATGGAATCCGAAAGATCCCTGTGTCACCAATTCCTTGTACCTTGATCTCTTGTTGGATGCTATTGATCATGGTATTGTTATTCGTTGCATTATCTGTCGTGATTGACAATATCCGATCAGTGATCTGGTGTTCCTCAAGAATGTTGAGAACGACGGAACTTAAATTGCTTCCAGTATGTGAACCATGTAGTGGCTCAAATCCAAGAAGGACCTCACGATACTCCCAGTCATTATCAACGAAATAGCCAGTAATTGCCATAAATGCTTAGGAAAAGGGTGATATCCAGCAGTCTAATGCAATTGAGAGTCTGCTTCCCTGTAGTAAATTATCGAGCACGCTCCTTTGTCCTTGTTGAATCTCTAGGTCTAGCCGACGACGAATAGACCGAGCAGAGGGTAATTTAATCTTAGAAGGAGCTAGTTGAATAATATCACAAAGTTGTTGGAACTCAGGACGCTTAAGTATACGGAATAGGAGTCGGGCAATAGTGATGAGCTGGAGAAGATGATGGATAAGAAGATCTTCAGAGAATGACTGTAGCGATCGAGTCTGGGGCTGAATGAGAAGAGTTTTAGTAAATAGTAGTAGATGATTAGGATGATATTCAAACTAACCGATTAGAGTAGTAGCTGATCAATCCCTCGTCTTTGCAGCCCAGGCTTGCAAGTAGTACTTTTAAGATGCGTATTCATTAGGCTTGTTCCCCCGCGGCGTAACTGGGGATAAGTAAGGGTAGTATAGCAGCGCTTGCATATAATCCTTAGCTCGCCAGTCTTTTCGTTTGCAACTTGGTCGAATTCATCCCAAACATTTGATCTTTTCTTATTATCCCAGCCGATCGAAGCTCTAGTATCCTCCTTTACTCCAAACTCGGTCTGTAGCCACCATTCCGTAAATTGTAAACGAGATTGCTCCATCTTAGGATCTGTATCGTACAGTATCCAGATCTGGTGGAACCGAGGGCCAACGCGTTTTAACGAGGATAGTGCTAGCTGTTGAGAATACTGGCGAGGATCCAATAGCGCAACCGAAGTGGCCGTTCGGCAGGTATTGCTAAGGGCAGGTAGATCGTCTGACTGTAGAAAGTCAGCCTCAGAAAACTGATCGGTAAAACTAGATACTTGGGAATAAGCCATAATAAGGAAAGGCCTTAGCAGTAGGGGTCTAGTAGAGAGGAGAAGGAAAACTTACTAGGG